AAAAAAAAAAAAAAAAAAAAGAAAAAAAAAAAGCTTGTATCTCACTATTTAGAGTAACTGCATTCTGCTGTGCCCCTGACTGGGCAGAAGGATCACTTACTATTTTTATTTGATAAGCTGGGGTGTGTACAGTTTTGTTTGGGAGGAACTGCTAATGAGACACCTTTATTACTGATTAGGTCTGAGCAGGGAGCAACTGAACAAAGGAGAAGGCGTTTACCTGATAGGCTGACTTCTGAGTGTTTAATTTAACGTGATTTTAGGGACAACTTACAGCTTCTGGCCCAGAAAGACTGTCACACAGTCTCCCACATGTGACAAGATTTTTTTGCTTTTCATTTAGGAAACAAATCCCAGTCAGACTGGAAATATGCTACAAGACAAATGACTTGTAACACCAATCTTTTGTTAAGGTAACATCACCCTCCCTGCACATGGATGGCCCCTTGAATTTTAATTTAAACAGCACCTGTATGAACTGCTATGTAATGGGCTACACCTGTATGTAGTAAAAAGAAGCCTGGTCCTGAAGAGATTGCCATAGAAGGGATGGAATAGGACAGAAGGTGTTCTTGTGTCTATTCCCCAGGTGGGGACCTGAGGTGCCAAACAGGTTAGTGATATACCCAAGCCTACAAAGGGAGCCTAAGCATAGCCCATAGTCTTGCATGCAAAGAACACCCACCTTCCTCCAGCACTGTCATGAGTTTTTATCCTTACCTCTACCTTTGGAGATGTACTGCTGTGCCTGTGAATCCAAAAGGTCAGTGTCCCCAGTGTCATTGCACAGAATGACTCAAGTATTTCCTCCCTGAGAGCAGAACTGTGGCAGTGTACTTATTGCTGTAGACCTTCTCTGAGGTTGTGAACCACAAGGCGGTACTAACATCACATTTCAGGATACCATAATCAGTCTGCTAGTAGTCTTCTACATTGGAGCTGGTGATTTAGGGTCACAGTGTCAGGGACTTCCTCGACCAGCTGCAGATAAGTGGGTGGTCAGGGGAAATCTAAGAATTACTCTGAGCACATTTAAGTATTGTTTGGGACCCTTTCTCTGTCTTTTTCCAGGGCAAAATTTTTCACTTCAGTTCTTCCTCTCCAAAACTCTTGTGTTTCTAGGAGTATTTCTTTCCTTGATTTTCCTACCCCAAGAACACGAAGACCAATTTGCCATGTGCAAGTAATTCCCTCCTGATGAAAAAATAAGGCTGTTAGTTTTAAAGAGCACTCTCTAAAGAGATGATTACAAAATATACTGCAAAGGTGCCTAACCCCCAGCAGATCATTATAGTAATAGGAATCTAAGGAGCAAGCTAGCCTGCCTCCACTTGGCTGTCATAGACCCACTTGCAATGGAAATGATGTCACCAGACTGCCGAGGGGACACTGTTGTGTTTGTTAATGCTGTTGTGGGGATTTGCCCGGTCAAATAATGGCATGAAAAACAAGGCAGCATTTCTAGGGGATGTCTAGAGCAATAACTGCTTCCCCCTTTCCCTCCCCATTGGACAGAATAAGCAAAGCCTTCTTTAGTCCTCAGCTCTGAACCATGCTGCTGCCTTGCTTGGCTCAGCTAACTGGGACACGCAGTGACAAGAAGTAAGAAAAGAGGCAGGAAAATCCTTTCTGACTAGGGAGTCTTTTGCCCCTTGAATGGACACATAACATTTTGGATCCCTCCTGTGGCATTTTTTTTTTTGCATAAGGGGTGTGTATGATTGGGATAATTTCTTTTTTTTCAAGAAAAACCAACCTTCCCATCTCTAGTATTGATGCAGCAATGGTATGAAATTTCCACCAGCAGAGGAATACCTCCTGTCTATACCCAGAGGTGACTGAGATGCTCAAGCTGGCTCTATGCTGTCCCTGCAACTTGCATTCAAATGTCGTAAAGGGCTTCTCGGTAACTATTTTTGAGGATGATCTGGTACAGGTCAGAAATAAATGGCTTGGTGCTGTGGATAAGGACTGGGAATAGTTCTTGCCCTTCCTCATCTTGATATACCTTCTTTTTGCCACATTGCTGGTGGTGGTGGGGAGTGCTGGCCAAGACACACATTCTGCTTCCTGACTTGGGTGGCAACAGAAAGAAACCATGTCTTTGAGCACAGAAGGGATATCTGTGTCTACAGGAACCACTTGTACATGATCAGCCTGACAGAAAAATATTTCAAGTAATTCTATATTTCAGTAATTCTAGAGATTTCTTCAAGCTATAAGACAGTAATTCTAGAGATTTCTTCAAGCTATAAAGGCAATAGCAGGCTTTGTCCCCAGCAAAGTGCCTAGAACTGGCATGGCTTGGGAGATGCCACATTAACCTTATGTTCATTAGTGTGATCATCTTGAAAGCTGAGAGAAAACAGATGGTGTGATACAGATAAACTTGTACAATTTAGACTGAGAGATACATTCATACACTGGGGCTGATTCTGCAAGGTACTCAGCTCCTGCAGAAGTCTAGGCTTAAAAAAAACCACAAAGCACAGAAATTGCCCTTAGCCTCCACAGAAATGAGCTCAACTTCCATGTTAATAGAAACTGTACCTCAGAAAGGACAGTGTTGACCTCAAGCGTTGTCTTTACAACCTGATCACTCCCCTAGGTCACTCAAGGTTTAATCAAGAATGATTTCACTTCAGTTAGCATGAACTGTAATTGCATGCTCGAAGAATTCTGCTTCTCGTGATGAATCAGAGAGCTTCCCCCATATTTTATGGTTTGCTGAACACTGTTGCTCCAGCTGCAGGAGGCTGGATTGTGCAGCTGACAAACTTGCATGCACAGAAGTTCTCTACCCTAACCACCAAAGGGAGGCTTATAAAAAGAGTAGCCATAAAAAAAGTGAGCAGTTCTGCAGGATTTCATGAACCAAAAGCACCACGTAAGTTTTCTCCAATAGTCAACTTACTTTCAACCAAAGTGACAGCTCATGTGATAAAGGCCAAAGGACAACTACAGCCTCCATAGCCCTGCAGCTGCATTTCATCAGATTCCAAGAAAACTCTAATTGCAGGATTTTTCCTCTGACAGGGGAAGATGCATGAATGCACGGTGCTTTCCCAGAACAAACCACCATGTGGCTCTTCAGCCTCACAGTCAGATCAAATCTATGGGGGGGAAGGATAAAAGAAAAACAGAAAAGACATTTAAAAATTAAAGGAGTGAGAGATTGCACAGAAAAGTAAAGCCATTCTTCAGACTGCAGAGTAATGCACATTTCAGCAGACAGTTACATGTACGGATTGCAATGTTACCAGCTCTTTTCCAAATACCTGTACCACCAGAAAAGAAACATTAATGCCTCAGCATTCAACAGCTTAGCAACGAGCATCTATTCAGGACAATTTCAGGTGAGGAAGGTGAAACAGGAATATTTAAAAATAGTTAATGTAAAATGTGAATGCGAAAAAAGGAAAAGAAGAGGCAGCTTTAATGCCTCATTAGATGATTTTACTGTCTACCTTCTGCCACAAACAATGTTGTATAAGGTCTGTTCTTATAGGACTTCTTACACTCTTAAGTGCAGTACTGCAGGTTGCCTTTTGACACCAAAGAAGTTTGCTTGGAGCCTGCAGCCTCTCTGGGATTTTTGGGGGCTTCTCTATTTGGAGATGTGGTCACAAAGCTGTGATGCACAGACTGGTTGTGTAGTTCCAAAGTGGAGACTGAGAAGAAAAACAACTATTTTTATATTGGTCACCTGGATGTTGTCTTCTGAGACTTCCTCAGTCAAGCCTGTATGTGCCTCTACTCTACAGGAATCAGTGCTATATAACATGACTCATGAATTATGCATCTTTTCTTGCAGGCACTACCTGCTATAGAGGGCAGTCAGCACCATGCTTTGTTACCTGGGAGTATCTTAGACATAAAAAGTCTGAATTTCCTAATTATAATTAAGCAATTGTAAATCCTAACCAATAAAGATTTATTTCATGGCAGGTCATGATACTTTCATTCTCAAGACATAACTAGTGTCTTTGAAGCATGACCTCTTATAACATTATTTAAACTTTAGCATGCTGGCACCTGACTGCTCATCCCATTCAAAGTGCCTGAAAGAATTATAATTCATACTCAGACAACAGTATCCACAATAGGAACTGAAGAATCTTCCAGCAGTGACCTCTGTAATTACATGTGAGATTTGATGAGAGAGATCAGATGGTGGAAGAAACAACTGCCATTATACCTGACATACTCGTTCAGGGGACAGCTCAGCAAGAAGGATGGCAGAATGATTTAACTTTGTTCAAGGATTGCACATCTTGTGCTGTTCTCCATCTTCTCTCAGCATCTCTGAAAACTCAGCAAAAAGCAGAGTTTTTTAGCTTTTCTAAATGTGCAAGTTGAATGTAGCCCTTTACAAAATTACATATATTTTAAAAACAAAAGAAAGTAACAGCTGATGGATGAGAGTTCCAGATGGACAGATACTGCAGGTCTTACCTGAAGGTGGCATTGCTAGAACTCCTTCCTGTAGCTCCACTGATTCTCCCATACCAGCTTCATTCACATTCACCATTCATTCTGGTGCATCTTGGTCCATTTCTTGGTGTCCTCAGCTCACATCTCTAGTATGTATCCTGGCAGCACATCTTCCTGGTCTGGCTCCTGCCAGGCTAAGGAAATGCTGGAGTTGGAAAAATCCATCACCTTCAGCAGTCCTGGAGGCTCTGTGACAGCAGGAGAGCTGTGACACATACTGTACCTGCAGGTCTATGCTTGCATGTGTGAATACAGAGCTGCTCCTATTTCAAGATGCCAAACCTGCAAGGTTTCAGGGTAGAAGGAGTCTTAATAAACACAGTGCGAATTCAGCCCATCAAAACAATGCAGTTCCTAAAACAGTGCATGAATGTAGACCCTGTTCCAAGTTTGGCCATTTAAGAAAAATACAATTTTTGACATGAGACCATCTGACTTCAGCTTGGAAAGGACACCTTCTAAGAACACTGACCACCACTCACTCTCCATACGTGTTTGGGAGAGGTGTGTAGCATTAAAGATTTGCTTCTGTCTCTTCCTAGCTGACTGGTGAGCTCTGCAGTACTCTGTAGTATTCCAGCAACCAGTCTTGTATGGCTTTGAGTGCCTGGTGTCTCTTCTTGTTTAATAAATCCCTCTTACAGTCTTCTATAAAGTGGACAGGTGCTATCTGGACTGCCTGGATTAGTGAATTTGCTTTCTGGCTTCCAAGATCCCGATAACATTCTTTCAAGTTCTTTTGCCAAGGATTACAGTACCTCTAATTAAAAGTAATTTTAAAAAATACAGACCATGCTTTTTGCTCTTTAAAAATACAGATCTTGCTTTTTGCTCTTCAGTCCACCTTGCAGCAGTCTAGTTAGATCTCCATAATACGTAAGAAGATAAAAAGATGGAACATCAAAATATATCTGTATGTTTTTAACCAAATGAAGAGTCTTGTATCCGAATTCACATTCTGCTCTAAAAGTCTCAGCTAAAAATGCAGTGACCTCCTGGTGCTGTCCCCAACTCAAAAAAGTCAACCAGTGCAGCAAGCCATGACAAACTTGATGCTAATGGCTTTTATACAGAACACTCATATGAGCACACAGGGTCATAAGGAATATGGTACATATGGACAGTACATATTCTTCTAGGCCTAATGTGAAATAACGCAAGTCTTCAAATAGGAGAAGAATCATAGCTTCAGGCTTTAAATTGTTTTTGTGTTGTCTTCTGATGTAAATGAACCTGAATGCTTTCCCATCTGAGTAACTATTTAACCTCAAGGCTCTTGTCTACTACATAGAATTATTTCATTTTGTAGCTACACCCACTTCCACATTTGGGCAAGTTTTTTTTTTTTTCCTAAATTATGTGCACCTACTGAGTCCCACTCCTGTATCTATTACAAGATTCCATCGATAGTTTAAGCTATTTACTGATGGCCTCTGACAGCCTTTTGTTTTTAAAACACTTTAGTTATATGGTCATATAGAGTAAGAACTCTCTATAACTGGCAAAAAATAAAATCTGCCCGTTTGAGCACTTTTGAGGCTACTGTAATTCCTCTGGAGTTTGTCTGTGATTTTGATCAGTCCAGAATCAGGCACAGATACTTTACTACTAAAAATCCAGTGTTTAAATAAAAGAATATAAGCAACTTCCATGAATTCCACAAGAGCTTTCTTTTCTTTTAAAAGGGTTGATTGGGGGACTGATGAAAGGAGCATAGTAACATGTATGAGAAATTATTTTCTTTGTCATACGTTAGGGCCTTTGGCAACCTATATGTGAACATTAAGCACTAAAGATGCCTTAGAGCATCTTTATCATGTTCATCTCTGCTGTTTGCATATACTCAGTTCTCCTCAGGTGGAAATCTCTTACTACATCCTTATTGTAATAGTTACACATTTTAAGTGAATAATATCACACTTTCAGGCACTTATAACATAATTATATTTACAGCCAACAGTATTAAGGCCTTCCTTAATCTTCAGTTAAGCTGTAAACGTGATAAGTCAGGCTGGAATTTGTCACAGTCCCTCAGATTTCAGTCATAAAGGCGTAGAACTGATCATCACATACAAAAAAAACTAGACATTAAACGGTGAAAGAAACATACTGAGGGGATCCTTTGCAATGAGAGGCTGAGGACATGCTGAGAAGACCAGGGACTGCAGCGTTCATAGATATCGCATGGAACTCCTTCTGTATCCTCCAGAAAACCATCCTCATTGAATCTGGTACCTAGAGACACACGTTACAATTACACAACTCTCTAATCACCCATAAAAGTGTTCCCGAGTGGTCACTAATTTTTTAAATTGCTTTTGGATTGAGATAAACCAAGAAGAAATTTCAGCTCATGAACTGCTGGAGAACAATGTAAATTTCAGGGGTTCAGGGAGCCTCATGGTCTGCTCCATTTTCATATCTCTCTCCCAAAGGAGGAGATGGAATGTTGATGGATACAATAAGAGGAAAAATGCATAATTTGCTTTCCACTAGATTATGGTCTATAGCCTAGTATAATCATACATGTTGGGGAAAAAAGTCTTCATGTCTTGCTCCACTGACTTCAGTGGAATTGCCCATGAGGTGACAAACTCAATAGAGTGGCCAAGCCTTTCACAACTCAGACTTCAAGCAAGGTTAAAACTCCATTCAGTTTTGAAAAAAAACTTGGTAATTGAGTAATTTGCCTTAAAAAGTGTTTCCATTATTTACCATGAGTAATAATGGTGCTTTAAAGATTATATTTTTGGGTAGTGTGACTGATTGTAACTTAATTAATATGAAAGTCCAACATTTTGAAAGAGACAGAGGAAAGAATCCAAGAACGAACCAAAATATTAACAGAAAAGAAAAAGCAAAAGTCTCGTTAGTCAGATGCTGCTGTTGATAGGAACACTCCCCATGTGTTTTACAAGCTGTGCTAGGCATGGATCATATGGTTGCTATCTGATGGATACAACAAAATCAGTCAGTAGTTTAATTTAATTCTGGTCTAAGACAGGGAAAAGAAGTCAAATTTAGGTAGGAAGAAATGTAAAATACAAATGTTTGAAATTAGGCACCCATGGGTGCCTAATCTGTACGTGTGTCTTTCAGAGGTTCTGCCCTCTCATTGTTGCCTGTCGGTATCAAGCCATTTCTATTTGAGGGCTGAAAACCTCACTTTGAACAGCATATATAAAAATGTGTATCTTGCTAGATACCATGATGACATTTTCCTTGATTAATCAATACTCAGCTTTGCTTTCAAAGCTTATCTAAGTTTCCTTCTACATAAAACAGATAATAATCTTGGTCTGACCTTGGACTGGCTCCCTGGTGATTGGAACACAAAGACTGCTGCCTTTCTTCCTTTTTTTTATGATATAACCTTGCACTGAGGAGCCTCCATCCTGGGCTGGGAAGTTCCAGGTGATGGTGACATCTTCTTCCCTGACATCTACAACTTGAGGCTGAGACACCTGTCTCAGAGGCTCTACACAGAAGAAAATAAAATTAGTGCAGTACAATCAGAATTCACTGACTCCAAGTTGTGTGTATGTGCTATGTGTGCGTATAAATCCCCCCTTTCATTGGGGATCTCAGTCCATAAAGGAAAAATGGGAACAAGAGGTACCCGAGCTGTAACTCCCAGAAGATAGTTCAGCAGTGTTTTCTAACCAAGTTAGATTTTGGCTGACATATTTTCTTTTTTGGCTGCAAAACAAAATGTTTTTAAGCATTCCCTTTTAAATTATCTTCCCTCCTCCCCCACAATATTTTCCAGAGAAAGCCACTTTTCATTTCTGCCGTATCCCACTAAGCTTACGTAACTGTCACTAGAACAGTGTGTCAGTCAGTCCTCTCTTGTGGCCAGTCCATGTTGAGGGGTTTCTCAGTCTACAAACCCTTGCAGTGAAAGGACCTGGGTATTTGTTTGATCCTGGCTATCAGCACAAAGCAGCTTCTAAGCTCTGTCCTTGGAATTTGTCCCGTGAAGCACAGGGGACAATGTTCTTTTGGGGACTGGCAAGGAGGAAGAGGACAAACATGATGGGAAGCAGGACTGCGAAACCACATTAGAAACAGCTGGCTAATAGGCTTTCCAGCAAAAATTTCTTCTGTTTCAAGGGCTTGATGAGGCCCTCAGAGTTGATGGCACATATTCAGAATTAGTGGGCTTTCCCCGCCTCCACCTTATCTGTAGCAAATGTGGTGCACTTGCTTTCCACAACCCCTACTTTGATCCATGGTTTTTTCTCCAGCCATCTTCCTCTTGAAGATGAAGCAAGTCACCTGCTTTTCTCCATTGCCTTTGGGTGCTTTCCATCTCATTTTACATTTCCCCCATGTGTTACAAGAACTCTGCTTTCCCCTGCGGGGGTTTTAGTTTGCTTGCATGGTGAGTGGCTGACCACTCTTCCTCTGTCACCTCAGTGCCATCTTTGAACCATGTGACTTTGGGCATTGGCTTTGTCTTGAAAGGCACCTTGATGCTCACTGTATGCTTAGTCTTCACAGTAACGCTGTGTGCAGCAAAAAGCTCGAGGATGGATTCTTCAATAACAGGAGAATCTGGAAAGAACAGAGACATCTGAAATCTGCAGCTGCAAATATAGCTTGACATCTTTCCTGTGTCTGCAAGTTCCCAGAAAAGGTGGTCCAAAGCTGGGCCCTTCATACACTCCTTCATGTTTTTAATATAAGAATCCTGTATTTTGTGAAAGTCTTTGGGGACACTCAAAATATTCAGTATGTTTTGATTCAGTTAATTTAGTTCTGTTTCTTGTACAGGGAGCTGGCTGACCTCCTTTAGTTGTTCAGCTCAGCAGAAAAAGAGGGACGTCAGGGAGATAGCAAGCCCCAAAGCTCCTCACTTCCCTAGGGCATGGAGATTTGATTCCAGGCAGTTTCTAAGTTTTGCAAGGCATGAGAAGCAGCCCTTTGTGCTGTTCTTCCCTAAGGCCACACTGGGATATCTATGATCATGATAAAGGAAGTAGAATCAAAGTTAGGTACTGCTAATGATATGGGTGTCCTGCACACAAGAAATAAAAAACAGCCAGGCTCCTAAACATATTTGATGTTTTTCCTTTTATTTTTGTCACACAATGTATATGTTCAGAAACTATAATCTGCTGCTGAAAGTTATAAAAAGGCATCAAAAATTTTTTTTGAATGTGGGAAACCTCCCTATGCAAAAGCTTTGCTGTGGATGGGTTTTTAGTGCAGCACAGGTATGATAAATATTCTGTGCTGCAGCCACAACATCCTTACAGCTGCGTTTATCCCGCTCTCCGTGCAGTAGTTATCTATCCACTTTGCCTTGATTCGGCAGACAGAAACAGGCTTATTTCCCTGCTGCAGACAAGTCTGCAAGTCCATCTGGCGCCATCTGGCTGCCAAGAGCTGAGTAATACGCATATTTATATATTTCTATATATAATTTCAGAAAAGGTGTTTTTCTTGTTGCTCATGACAACAGTGTTTGAAGTAAAGGCTCAGGTCAAAATTCTTGATTACTGATTTATAAACACAGAAACCTATTCTTAGTCACTTAAAATCAACCAGTACGACTGTTCAATTTTCTCCCCTCAGGGAAGAAAGAAGCAGAAAGAAGAGGTTTTGCTCATGCACATAGACAAGCCTGTAAAATGGTACAGGCAGAGGTAAGGAGACCTGGTGAAGCACTGATTCTGCAAGTGTTTGTGTACACCGATTAAAGAGCAGTAAGGAGATGGGGTGGCTACCTCCAACAGCAACTGTTGCTCCACTCTCTGCCCCCTTGTCTCTGAACATCTACCTCCCTTCAAGCTCCTCTCTCATTCTGTCAATGATGAGTCTGTGGATGGCTCCCTGCTTTGCTATCCAGAACCTTTTCATGTCTGTAATCTGTCAAGAAGATTGAAGCAGCAAACAATACACATTGCAACAAACACCACTTTAAACCCTGTCTGTGAATCCTCTGATCAGCGTTTCCTGTTCTGACTAAGGGGTCAGGATTTACTCTAGTAAAAAGCTCTGTGATCTTTGGATGAAATTAATTCAGTGCTACGTGGACAGTGTGATCTTTGCATCTGCATAGATGAGCCACATAGCATGTAACGAAGGCTGTGCATCAGCATGCAAAGGATACATTTACTGATTACTCTGAAAAACAGAGCCTGGGAGAGGAAGAAGGGTGGGTGGTGAGAAGCCAACCTTGTGGGAAAGAATGCGAGTCTACAGGCTGAGAAAATCAATCATAGAATCATAGAATGGTTAGAGTTGGAAGGGACCTTAAAGATCATCGAGTTCCAAACCCCCTGCCATAGGCAGGGACACTTCCACTAGATCAGGTTGCTCAAAGCCCCATCCAGCCTGGCCTTGAACACTTCCAGGGATGGGGCATCCACAACTTCCCTGGGCAACCTGTTCCAGTGCTTCACCACCCTCACAGTGAAGAATTTCTTCCTAATATCTAATTTAAATCTCCCCTCTTCCAATTTAAAACCATTACCCTCTGTCCTGTCACTACACTTCCTGACAGAGTCCCTCTCTGGCTCTTCTGTTGGCTCCCTTCAGATATCAGTAGACTGATATGAGTTAGAAAATGTGAAAGCATCTTTACAGGAGACTGGAAAGGAAAATTTTGAAAAAGCCAAGATTCAAAGCCAAAACTTAGTAAAACTGAGGCTGTAGTAGACTGGGAAAGATTAGATTCGTTCTTGTCTGACCTGTCCATCTATTGTCCTGAGTCAAAAGCCCTTTATCAAAACCAGGCTAAGTCCCACACACAGTAGCTATTCGGAGAAAAATTCCCACTAGGGTTTTGCAGCCTTTCATTATACTGACGATACCATGGGCATTTTACCTCTTTGCCATCACTGAGCCATATTGCTCAAGCAAATGTCTCTGGAAGAAATCCTGGTGGAAGCATGTGAACAGAAAAACTGTGCAGAATGATTGCTGAATGAACACTTCAAACACCAAGGAGGTACTTAATGGCAGGGAGATCTCATAACAAAATGTACAGGCCCTCATGACGAAAGTGGTTTAGTAGATTGGACATCATGGGAAGAAATGGGGATGGAGAAAGACTGTTTCTGAGTACTTTTTGCCTTTCATTGTGAGTGTTCACTGGAGGGAATGTAGCTACAAGTACCCCAAAGCTGAAGCAAACACAGCCTCTTGGCACTGCTTCAGAACTTTAGCTGGTCCAGAAGAGCCAAACCAGCAAAACACCTCCTCTACTGCCTACATAATATTTGTATCTGAACCTGAACTCCGCATGGGGAAAGATGAATCTGTAACTGAGGCATCAGTCTGCAATAGCAGTGTGTACAGAAGTCAGAGGTGGCTCAGCCATGGCTTTCCAGGTTACCTGTGCCGGAGGAGTGGTCAGAGAAAGCCCCTGCCCCACACTGTCCCTTCAGGCCATCCTGGCCATGGCCCACAGAGGGCACTCACATACCAGGCCTGGCACACATCCTCCAGGAGCCGGGGCTTCCTTCCCCACTGCCAGCCACACTCAACCCTGGCCTCCGACTCCTCGCCAGGCTGCACACCTGGAAAGCCCAGGGCTGGGGATGCCAATGGGAAACCGCTTCCTTCTGATCTGTTTTGGGAAAACAAACTGAGAAATACATGCCCAAAATGCAACTAATGGAGTGACCTCCATCCAAGTCCATGCACCAGGACAGGGTTTGTGGGGCATCATCTGACACAGAAAATGCAGGACTATTAGGAAGAGACCAGCCTCACAGAGATATCTGTCAGGGATGGGCACTAGGGCACATCAATCTTCCATAAGAGGAAATCTACTTGACCTCACAGGTGAGCTTCTTTTGGCCCCTGAAGTTTCCTTCATACCATCCTACCAACTGAATATTCAGTTATTACCGAACCTGTGAAGGATACACTACTATAATTTTATCCTCCTTCCATGCAGTTCATTTTGAAATGGTCTTCAAATGTTGTGCTTTTCATGGGAGGCACCTAGGCACAGTTAAAGCCTGGTACACTTCTAACAGAAGTCATCTCAAATACTAACAGTCACTAAAATCCACACCCTAACTTTGAAGTTCTCCTCCAGCCCATGCTGACAATTTTCCAACTTTTTTTCCTGTTCTTAACAGTCTTGTGTCTTTCTCTAAAGATCATAGACTTAAGTTTACTCTATCAATAATGCTACTGCAAAATTTATTCACAAAATAAAAGTGATATTAAATATTTACCAGCCTCATGTTGTGCTGCTGGTCCTCAGCAGACTGCAGTCAAACGTCCCATGGGTGGCTTTAAAGAATCAGGATAAGAATTCCTTAGGACAACCCTGATTAAAATAAAAAACATGGTACACTTTACCAAGCTGGTTTAGGTGACATGTAAGGACTTAAATGGAAGATTTACTGCTTTATGTTTCTGCCACTTTATACAGCAAAGGGAAGCCCTTAATTATTATCTGCATGCTACCAAGAGGGGGCACAGACTAATGGCTTATTCCATGTTAAACAATAAATAGACTGCAGAGCACGTTAATTTCACATCAGTTTCCTAGCTGTTATAGCAAAGCAGCACTGCTCATCTGCAGAGTTCACTGAAGAACAGTGTAAAGGTAACTACTCTTCTTCCTCTCTTGAGCCATTCACACTTACCTTCCAGAGTTACACTGGCACTGCCGTACTGCTCTCGAGGGTCACTCTCTTGTGTCGCCTACAATTGCTGTGCAACCTGCATAGAATCCTGTGCAACCTGAATCATAGAATCATAGAAAACCTCCTGAGTCACTCGGCTCAGCAGCACTGAAGTTAAATTCTGCTTTCTCCCCTTCATGCTTCCTGATGTACTGAGGAGACCTCTCAATCACTCATTCAGTCTGTGTCTCCTTCAGGATGACATCTTCAGAAGTCATCACACACTCCAGGCAGGCTTTTCTCTTTTTTTTTCACTTGGGTGCTCTTGAGATTGCTGATGAACTGAATTGGAACCCCTGGGAAAGGGGAAGGGGTTGGCAAGAAAGAATGGCAGGATATAACATGGGCTCCTGTGCAGGAGAGATTCCAGGCTTGGGACTTTACTTCCAGTGTGAAATAAGGTCTTGATGCTCCTCCATTTGCCTGTCCACAAACCAGCTTTATGAGACTGTGGCTTCCAATTTTTTCAGCCCAAGCTCTGGGGCTTTGTGTTTCAGCTTTCTGGATTTTGCAGCTTAAACCCTGCTATCTTGCGTTTGATCCACACACTGCCCAAAGATGCTTACATTGCATTACTTATGATCAATGAAGAGTGTTCTGCTCTGCACTATAACTCCAGTCTCAGCATTGAAGTTCTTTAAAGTCAGTGGACGGAACACCCTTAATTTTCATAGTGTAGGCTAATCTGTCATCAGATGTGATTATTTCATACTTCAACTTCACTTCAACTCTTTCCCATTGAGCTTCTAGGTGAAGTTTTGCACTTTCTGTGACAGGCAGATTTCAAACACTGCTGTCTGTCTTTCAGTCACCTTTGGTGGTTTCAGTTCTGTCAGGAGTTAGGGGCTCATCTGTTAAAAAACTAAAAAGACAAATATTCACTCTGTTATGCTTAGTTCCTGATCTCAGGTTTCCTACACTAAACAGCTAGACTTCAGTGAAGTAATTTTGTTTTCTTTCTTGAGTGGTAGCAGAAAGATCAATTCATTCCTTCAACTTCAGTGGAAATTAAGCTAACTACAGTTCATAATGTTCAGTAAAAGTTGCATGTAATTTTACAAAGCTGTAAAATTACCAACAGACGCACCGCTTTTCTGTTCAGTTCTTCTGTCTTAGCTCTGCTTTTTTCCCCCCTCTCCTTTACTGCAGGTCGTTGTAAAGTAAATGGCTTCAGGCAACCGCAGATGACATCTAAAAGCATACCTAGAACCATTTGGCAAAGCTGAAGGAGGACTGTCATCTTCCTTCATTATCTGTCAAGAGTGCTGCAGTGTCTGGCACAGGATCACTATTTGGCTTAAGTAGGGTAATTTACCACACTACCAAATAGCCTGTGCCTGAGCCCTGCTAGGGCTTTATCAAAAGGTTAAGAATTTTACTTAAAGAATGGTACTTATTGCAAAGCATATCTTTAAGAGATGGTCCTAGTGGGCAGCATCACTTCTACTTAGCACTGATTTAAAGCAAATTTGCTGTCTATAATGTGGTTGGTTTTCTTTCAAACAGCAGGCACGTATTTGGCTGGCTGTATGAAGCATATGCAGACGAAAAAAGATCGTTCTCATCATGCCCAGGCCCAACCACTCACTCCTAAGACATGTAACACTGTTTGAGGAAAGTTCACTTCCATAGTGCCAAGATGCAATTTGTCATTCCCATCTTTTCCACTAAAACTGGTCCAAATTCAGTAGTGACTCACGTCCTTGCCACACTGATGGTCAGTGAAGAATTTGGCTTATTATGTGTAGTAACTAGGCTTCAAACTGAAATCTACTGTTTCATGAAAGGTGTTTTCACATGGGCGATCTGGTAATTGTGGGTTGGTTTATGACTTGTGCAATGTTAGATTTCTGTTTGGGCCTAAAAAAAACCAGTGAATCATGAATGTTGCAAAGACAAAATAAAGTAGGTCACAGTTTGGCCCACCAATTTTGACCCTCAAATTTCTGTCTGTAGACGTTGACATTGTACACAGAACTTCATGTATCCGAGAACAAAGCTTACCTATCACTCTCAGCAAAACAGAGAGCTTCTTTTGATCCACAAAAAGACTGTAGGTGCCTAGGTCTTTCCCATTCACATTGGTGATGCACAGCATACATTTCACACCTACATGCATCATATCATTTTTTCTTCTCCAGGAATATGGGGAACACAAAGTCTCTTCCCCATAATAAGCACAATGCTGGCACATGTTCTTTTTGTGCAATGGGCAGAGAGGGGAAGACACACAATGCTCAGTTTAAAATCAGCTGGGGATAGATTCTCTCATCCTGCTTCACCCCACTCGCAGCAAATCTGCCCTGCAAAGACCCTCCATTTTGTCTAACTTAAAAATTCTTCAAAGCCTAGTTGTTAGTAACTGATCTCGTTGCTAATCAAGCTAGACCTGGAAAGCTTACCTTTAGTCATGATCAAGGATACTGTGTAGATGGCATCAGTGTGGGTATTGGACGCTACACACTTGTAGTTATCTGTATCATCTCAGGAGAAGCATTCACATTGGAAAGAAAAAAAAAACACACAGGGAAAGCAATATGCAAAAGCTCCACATAAGTTAGGTGGTGATGAGCAGATACAACAAATGTATTAGTGAATTCCTCTTTTTGTGTCTAAATCAGCATTTTTTAAATCATTAACATAATTGAGCTGTTGAAAATCCAGGATCTCTGAAGGCAGAAATTTTGAGGCCAAATCCAAGGCTCCCTCTTCCCTAAAGATCCCTCACAACCTTCCCAAAGTCTCAAAGTCAGACAGAAGTCTGCCCACTTATAGTGGGAAGTGATGTATTTTGCAGATATTTTTGGGGACAGTGATGTATTTTGGATCAGGTCCATTCTTGGCCTAAGGCAGCAAAATGAAGCCACATTTCTTCTCAGAGACATCCTTTTATTCTGGCGCTCTATATTGAAAGTGAGTATCACCCCTGTACGGCATAAGCAGTACAGAGACCAGGGGAGAGTGAATGGAAGCTGTTGGACTCTGGGGTACTGTAGGAAAAGAAAAAGAGTGTGACCTTCTCTAGCTGGCAGGCTTGTAAGTGAAGGAATGCCTGAGAGAAGAGATGAATTAAGTGAACTAAGAATTAAAGAGAGAAAGAGACGGAGCAAGGGAAGTGAAGAAGAAAGGCATAAATTTTGCAGCCATGGGACATCACAAATTAAACAGACACGTCTTGAATATTATGAATTATTAAGATTTAGTGTTGATTTTGCCTGAATGGCACACAAGAGGCATTAGGGCTTCACTGTGCTAAACACAAAATCAAGTAACAAAAATAATGGTTCCTGCCCTGATGCATTTTTTTCTGCTGATGGGAAACACTGCCCTATAAATAGACAACAGCATCTGAAAGTAGCAGTATTGCAGTAGGCCAACTGCAAGTGGGGACATTTTTATTGCTGTTCAGGAATACTGTAGTGCTTAAATTTTTTCTTTTTTACAGTTTTAACTGTGGAGATAATAAAATAAATGAGCTAATGGAGAGAAAATAAAGGTGTTACCTTAGTACACACTTCTTGAAAAGATTGTCAAAAACATTTTGGATTCTTCCTCTATTGGTACCCACTCTCTCTTTTCCATGTCACATTAGGTTTTGGTTTACTTTTAACTTTAGCTCAGAGTATTGCTCTGTCTCCTAAAATTCAAGAATAAACGCTGGAATTAATGAATGAATGAGTGAAATGGAACAGGGGCCTGTTATCTACTTTCTCTGGGTTTATTTTAAATGCACGATTGCTTTTCCTGTCTACTTTATGGAAAAGATTAGATTAACCTTGCTTTACTTTACTTACTGTACTTATTACAACTTTACATCCATCACAGATACCACTCTGGGAATGAAATTAGTTCAATAGCAGTGCTCTGCACACTAACAGGAATGATTTGTGATTTTTTGTGATATATAATAAAGATTCATATGATCTTTCTGTCAGTTTAGACAGTCACATATCTGTCATATGGGAGAGATTATACATGATGGAAAGGCTTATTTACTTATGCATTAAAGGTCATATTCATTCAGCCCCAGCCAAATAATTTGATCATGAGTTTTGCATAAACAAGAACTGCTGTATTTAAATCAGTAAGGACAGGTTTCCAGCAGCTAAAATGAACAGCAGCTTTCCTACTGATTATGACTGATCACAACAAATCTCTAAAAACAGCGAGGATGGGCATATGTAACTGCAGTTTGCACCTGTTTTTGTTTACCACCCATCCAGTTGTAGAAGGTAACAGACCATATTTACTTGCATGAGGTGGGTGAATATAGCTAAGAGCACCTGAAAAATGCAGCAGTTGTTGGCATATACTACACAAAGAACTGTCACCAGAAATTTTTGTTACTCACCCTTGGGTGTTGCCAGTGGACAAGGTTTTTCCACAAATTCAGGAATGCTTTCTCCAGCAAGGATCACAAAGGACCATGTCAACATGCTAAAAGACTCCAATAAGGCAGAAGGTTTCCTTGAAACAAGATCTTCTGTTGGGGAAAAAATATGTGAATCAAGCAGAACGGAGAGGTACTCTTTGAAGTATTTATTTACCAGGAGTGGAAAGAGTGGATACAACAAGAAGCCATAAAACATAAAGTTACATAGAGAATTGCCCCAGTCAGGTAAAACTCTTTGGAGAGGAAGGTTTGTAGTAGGAAGAATGCTAGCTGTCCACAGGAGACTGCTGATCAATTCCTTGCTTCTTTCCAGTCTTTCTGCAGGATTTTGGGCAAATAATTTACTTTCTCTGTACCTGTTTTGTCATCTTCACAATGGGAAAATTGGGCTGCCTTGCTGCACAGGGGTGTTGCAAGGTACTTTGATGTTAGATGTCATTCAAGAAAGGTATCAAAAGGCCCACTGGGACTTGCTCTGTTGTGCATGAGCTGTACCAGTATCTTGAGTGCTGCTCACGCCCTGTGTTCAGACAAATGCCTATAGTTTAAGCTCCTCCTTTAAGCTGTTCATTTCAGGAGGCTCCAAAGAGCTGGTTTTTTCTATCAGAATGAAACCCATTTAGTTTGTTCTTTTTTTTTTTTTTCCCAGCCAGACTGACCAATAAAGAGCTGTCCCTGAATACTTATTTCTAAGCTACATACAAACACCTCACTGAAACAGAGATATTTTTCTCCATTTAATGCAAAAGGTCTCAGTTTTACACCAGGAAAATCAATAGAAACTCTACTATCAACTAGGATTATTATGGCTTATTCATTTAAACTACTTCATTGCCCTTTTTCTTAATTAAGGACCTCCTCAGCCCTCCTAAGTATATCACATACAGTGGAATATGTGAACGCTACACCCTGCTCTCAGCAGATGTGGCTGGGAACTGTGTCATTGTCCTCGCTGCAGTGTCAAGACAAAACTGGTAAGGAGGTTACTTTAAGCCAAGGTAATCAAAGCAAGACAAAATGTTTCTAACCAAAGCCAATGGGTGATGCAGGAGCAATACCTGTTGTCTTGCACTAGCAGGTAGACAATGTGCTGGCCTTGGAAAAGAACAAAACTATTCACTTCCCCCTCAGCATAAGGCAAACCCCACCCCATGAATGCAGCCCACCTTTTATCAGCACCACCAAGCAGGCCACGTGACCGTAATATGGGAAAAAATTCTATTACCATATAGCCCGTTTCCAGTGGGGACTCTGTTGCATACGGCTATGCCAAGGCAGTTTAGAGAAAAGGGACAACTACTCAATTCTAGTCCTTGAGGAACAAGTACTATTCATCTAGAAATTGTAGCCCGCTGTTGCTCTATCTAGCAAGACAGATACAATAAGGAATGGTAGTCTCTGACACAGTCGTGTGCTGCTAAAGTATCTTGGGACAGAAGGAAATCAACCCAAACACAAGCCTTTCCAAGACTTGGGGGCAAAAATGATAAAGCTACAATTACGCACTGCAACCTAGAAGATACAGTCCTCAGGGAAGACAATGTTAAGACCATTTGACCTTAAGACTTTGCTTTGTTGCCAGCAGAAATTATAGCTATGCCAAAAGTGCTCTGTTTCAGGCATCCTCCCAAGGAGATCCTTTTCCTTATCAGAATATATATACTCCGGTCTCCTTGCTTAGCTGGCCCTTCTCTCCAGTCTGCCTGTACAAGAGACAAATGTTCTCTTACTCCTTATGCACAGAAGAGAAGTGAAGATTCTGTATCCTAGACTATATATCTCTGTATAGCCTTTAAAATTATGCAGGGATATCACGCATCTCCAGACCCTGTTATACCTTTCCTCTTCTGCTCAGAATTTTTTCCACAGAGACACGATTTATAAAATCTGTCTTGCAAACAAGGAAGGCAAGAGAAAGGGACCACTCTCGCTTTTGCCTGGTTGGCCCAAAGGTGTTCCCCTGGCCCCATACCACCCTTTCTCACTGTTCTGTTCTCACCCTTTCACGCTTGCATTACCAATGGTCATTGGTGCTGGTGACAGCAATGACTAGGGTTGGTTAGGAAGAGACAAGATTGTTACTCTACAATTCAAAATGCCCTAGAAAAGAGCGTATTTTACCCTCAGTCATTACAGGGCAAATTCACACCAGAGCACCAAGTGCTAAAATGAGAAGGCATATAGCATGCTACTTTACTCACCTGCTCCACTGCACAACTCTCTGTCTACCGTCAGAATTTATTTGGATTTTCAGATCCTACAAAGCTCACGATGACATGGTTTGAAAGCCAACCCACCATTTTAACAGTTCCTCTTTTCACCGTAAATATGGAATTCCCTTTCGTGATCAAATTTTTTATCCTTGGCCACAGATTTTCTGAACATGAAAATGTTACAGGTTAAGATCCAGTAGCTTGTGCCAGCTAAGGAGCAGAAATGGCTGGCAAGGAAAAGATTTTTTCTAAGCTCCTGGGTTATTATCCTTTGTTATCCTTCAGTCAGGAGAGAAAGCACTCTTGTTCTAAAACATTGCCCTTAATAGTAAGCGATAAGCTTTTAAGAGCCTCGTCAGATTACAACATTTCCTGTTTCTTGATGAGACTGGAAGTGACTTCCAGACCCCAAAAGGCTGCGCTTGAAGGATGTGACATTGTCTGTTACTGCTCATCACCATGACTCAACTTGCTCATACCTTGACTGTAAGCAAGAAAAAACCCCAAAACGACAATGCAGACAACCCTCTGTGCTTAGGAACACAGATACACCATGAATCAACCCATGGATACTCTGCGGAGAGATTAACTTCATTCATCACATATAGTCTGGCTATCACATTGTATTTACGATGGCTGCTATTGACAGAATCAGCACCAATTTACAAGGCAAAGCAGATCTCAAGAAAAGACTTGCCAGTACCACTGAAATACACACCACAAAGACTTGGTGCGAGTGAATGGTAATTTTAGTTTCAGTTACAGAAGACAGAGTTGGACAAGTTTGACTAATTCTTCTGTAGGTAACTGAGTCTTCCCTACACCATACTTTTCACAGTTCGTTTATTCCTGGCTTTAAGTGTCTCAAGGAATTACACTTCTGAGTGGTACTTCACAAGGTTCCTTTCTTGGAAAAGGAAGGAAAGGAAAAGCAAAGCAGATATGAGACTAAAGCTATTATCTCACACAGCCAGTTTCCACCCTGCCTGCCCACAGCCACAGAATACAATGTTCTAGAATATTCCTAAGAATATGTATATTTTACCTTCCCCAGGGACCCGCGCTCATATGTTGCTGAGTTGCATAAACAAACAGCAACAGCTGTTTTGTCTCCCCCCATCGCCCTCCGAGGACCACTATAAACTTTAGTTGTGCCACTGTTAATATGATACAATCATTTTAATTTACTAATTGTAAATGCCACGAGCAAATGAGGGGACTTTTCAACACCAAAGCTACCATTCATAATGCGCCAGCCCCGGCGCGCTCTCGCATGTGAAATTTCAGGCGGTCGGGTTGGAGAAATATCTAGACAGGTTTGGGGTTGCATTTTGCTTTTTTTTTTTTTTTTGGTTTTTTTGTTCCTTTTTTTTTTTTTTTTTTTTCTCCCCCCCCCCCCCCCCCCCAGTTATTCCTACTAAAGAGACAGGAGCATTCAAGACCGTTACTCAGCTCACGTGAAGTCCTGTAGATTGTTGCATTTCCAGGAAGATGACTGGGTCCATTTGCACTGGACAAATATGGCTTTGAGTGGTTCAAAATTTAAATACACACTGGCCTCTTGTGGGCTATGTTGTCACATCTTTTACAGTGCCTTCAGCAGTTTCTCATTCTTGGAATAACAGGACGATAAAACTTCAAGTATGAGACTAAAAGGAGTAAGCCTTCTACAGGCCAAAAGGATACCTTTTTTATTTAAAAAGAAACATTACCTCCCTACTCCCTGGTTTTCCTATGATTGATTGTTACATCATTTAAAAACTTTGATCAAAGGCAGACTACTAGAAAATTTATCAGTTTTGTTTTTTTGTGTTAAAACCAAAATATGTGGGTCCAGGTTTCAAACATTTAAACATTCAAGAAATCCTGCTTTGGTGTTTAAGTCAGTCCCCAGTGCTCCTTTCACACTTCAGTGAATCAGCCAGCCTTTGGCTTTATTTTTAAGCGATACAGGCAGCAGTTTCCACCATTTCCAAGACCAGCCAGTTCATTCAGTTACTCTAACAGTGACTAGGCTCTTTAGAAAATCAGTTCACAACTTTAGATTACAGAGATCATTCTTTATTCAGTTCTCTTCTCTGAGATTCTGTCACCCTTCTTCGTATGGAGAAGGACTTCATTCCCAACGAGTAAGGTACTTCTCAAGAAGAGAATGAATTACAGATCTCAGCCTGTGTATTTAGCTCTATTACTTCACTAGTGTCAACAGCAGTAGTGCTGAAAGAGCACAGGTACAAGAGGCTGTTTTACGTGTACATGGGTCTATCCATTCTGAATGACACAAGCTACATATCTTGCTTGCAATGAAGGCTGAACTAGTGGCAATAAACTACCTCTCTTAACTACCATGTTTGATTTCTGTTTGGAACAGATTGCTGTTATCTATTCTGTATTTATGTTAAATTAAAATCAAAATGGAGTCTAGTGCAGGAGGCACCTGGATTATACTTTGCAAAATACAGTAACTTAGAAAACCAAAGAACATCAAAATCTAGCCAACTTTCAGAGTCTGGCAGGAATAATTCTAGGGGTAAATTTTGGAAAAAGCAATCAAAGTCCCTCACCACCCCTGGGCACATATCACCTTTCCTGATGATTTTAAGATGATTTCTGCTAGTCTAGGAAAAAAAGAGGAAGGTAAAAAATTTAATCAAAAATCACAAAAAAACCCCAACGTGCAGAGCTTAAAACATAGTCAATTTTTCCAGTGAGTAAAAAACACCATATATAGACAGACAAAATAAACACATGCTGTAGTCCTTAGGCTAAAGAAGGATTACAGCAAAACAGCGGCTCTGTGCTCCCCTCTCTAGAAGTCAGTGTTCTTATTAATACTCTGCTCTGCTGAGATCCAACCTGTGTCCAGTTCTGGAGCCCTCAGCACAGGAGAGAGAGCGGGTCAAGAGGAGGGCCACAAAAATGATCAGAGGGCTGGAGCACTTCTCCTGTGAGGACAGGCTGAGAGGGTTGGTGTTATCCAGCCTAGAGAACAGAAGGCTCTGGGGAGACCTTATTGCAGCCTTTCAATGCTTAAAGAAGTTTTTATAAGAAAGATGGGGACAAACTTTTTAGTAGCAATAAGACAGAGGGTTACGGTTGTAAACTGAAAGAGGGTAGATTCAGACTAGACACAAGGAAGAAGTGCTTTATGATGAGGGTGGTGAAACACTAGAACAGGTTGCCTAGAAATGCTGTAGATGCCCCACCCCTGGAAATAGTCAAGATCAGGCTGGACAGGGCTCTGAGCTAATTGAAGATGTCCCTGCTTACTGCAGGGTGGTTTGGATTAGATGACCTTTAAAGGTCCCTTCCAACCCTAACTATCCTACGACAATAAGAAAACTGACTCAGGCAAACACTACTTTTCCCAAAGGAGAAATGGCTTCAGTGTGGTGCATGGTATTACAGATTTCTCTGCCCCCAAAATTTTGAGATGCATTGAGATCAAAAAGTAAGCAGAAGAGGCCTCTGAAGAGCATCTGGCACGACAGGCTCTCTCCAAGGGAAGAAATACTGCCTGGAAAACACGGGCTGTCAACATATTGGATTAATACTCGTGCAATACAGTGACTTATTTAACTCTACTTTAAGCCTAAGAAGCAACAGGCAGACAAGAGATAAAGATACAATAGGGAACACAGAAGTTGAGTAGTATGGCCCAGTGAAGAGGGAATGACAACACTCGAGTCCTTTGCCAGACTGTTTAAGCTTTATCTTCTTAAATGCTCTGAGCCATGTTGCCAGCTCTGGTGCCAACATAGCTTTTAATTCTGAATAAATAATTTAGCCTTTCTCTGCATTCAGCTTTGCTATCAACTGAATAATCCAAACACCGCTGCCCTGCTGGGGATTACACAGTGCACAGGCTTGGGCAGGTCTTCTGCACCGAAGTTAATTGTACCCCCTTCTGTGACTTTCACACCATGAGATGAGAACGTGGCATCTGTTGTATTCGAGTGCTGGAGCCTGATCAGTATCCACTTAGAGGAGAGTGGACTCTTCTCTTTCCTTGCATGTAATAGAAGGAATTCACCTCTTTGTGAGTATGTGACAGTCACTTTTAGACATTGCGAATCAATGCTTGTGTTGCCTAAAGCATGCAGTTCTTTGACTGCCTGTCCATTATGCATAAAGCTGCAAATGCTGCTTTCATTCACCTATTTTTTCTGTGCTTTTGAATGGAGTAATTTTTTTTCTTGTAGGACTTCTGAGCTGCCCTACATTATCCTAAGTTGTTAGTCACTCTCACAGACACCAGCAAGTATACAGATTTGGCAGAAGAAACAAGGTTATCCCCAACGTATCTCAGAAACAGTGTTTTTTCTCCCTAGCAAATGTATGAGGCATGTTTCAAGTCAAAATAGAGAAAGCCACAGGTAAGATTAACAAATTGTGAATTTACCATTTCCCTTTGTTTAAAATGGTTTCCAGAGAAAGAGCACATAAAAAAATAATAGTGCGGGTCCACTTCTAAAGTCTGCCAACTCACCAATCAACAGACTTTCTAAAACCACCTGTGTGCAAGCTGCATGGCTCCTCCACTGCAGAGACAGCAGGAACTGATGGTGATCTCTTCAGTTTCAAGCACTTTTGCAACTCCAAATTCACAGGTTAAGGATAAGATTTTCTAAAGTATGCTAATTGTAGAGGAAGTGTCTAGAATTGTTAGCTACTTTTTAAAGTCCTGCAAGTAAATGTGACACATTACCGTACTTGACTGCTAGGGAGTTGACATTTCAGAATAATTTGACCAAGTCATCTTTATCTTGATCCTTCAGAGAGTCAGACATCCTTTACCTGGGGACAGCTCTTGCTCTCAAGTGCAATCTTAGTTTTTGTTTTTACATAAACCTGTGTATCTGCTGCTCTCAGAGCACCTACAAAAGGAAAGAGTGTCTCATTAGTCTGTTACCATGACAAAAACATAAACAGGATAATACTGCTTAAGGGCGATGGCCAATGACCAGTGAACAACCGAGGCATTGAGCTAGGCTCTGCCCCATTCACAAAGTGTGAAAAAGCTTATGAAACAGAAGACATCACAGTTTGTTCTAAATAAAATCATGTCAGATTCATTATGTGCTAACCAACCTGAAGAGAGGAATTCAGTCCTCTGGGAAACTATTGTATTGTAGGTAATAATGCTGTAGTCTCGGGTACAAAGATGCCTGGGCAGTGAGCTGGAGGGAGTGGTTGAAATGTGAAAAAAATTCTTTTAATACAGAAAGACTGCTCAGTAAAAGGAGAAGTCTAGTAAGACACATAGCTTAGTTTAGTTCCTATTGAAAGCTCAGTTTCAAATCTGAATACAGAACCAGAAGCCTCACTCATCTCAAGTGCTTCTGCATGGCCAGAGCTCTTTCTGCTAATCCTAAGCACTTCTTAGGACTACCTCTGCTGTCAGAAGAGATCAGAACAGCTGATATAAGGTCCTTCATATCTCAAATGCTAAAAAAAAAAAAAAGAGATAGAGAAAAATACGTTAGTTATGGTAAGGCCAAAGAATAATTAAGATTAGCTCCAAATCTGTTAGATAAAATAACGCCTCAAGAAGCATTTGAATATTTTGATCCTGACCAAGTAGCATGCTCTTGCCTGGTGTGAGATGGCATCAGTGCAGCCCTCATAAGCAGACTGTGCAACTAGGCTGATGTTTGCTTTGTGCTAGTACACTGATGCAAAGCAGCCTGATTTTAACTGTCACCACCTTCTCAGGACATTCTACATATGGAGAATGGGAGTGGACAGCAGGCTAGATTTCCTTCATCAGTATAAATTGTTCACTTCTACTCAAGCACTGTCAACTAATACCAGCTGAGGATCTGCACAAGGACCTCAAAGTCAGTATCTTAGAGCCCTTTATACCTTGTTTGCCATAAAGCATTTGTCCTCTAGAAAGTCTCCTTGTACAGGAAGCAACATTGAACTTCACTCCTATATGCACATGCCTATCAATCATCAACAAATATTTTTTAGCAGATGCACAGGAAGCTGATGACAGAACAAGTAATTTTATTCACTAAGTCAGTTTTGACACTGAAGGGCACTGAACAGTTGAAAACATCGTTTATAGGGAGTTCCACTTACAACGTTATTCAGAACATCAGTGGTGCTTTCGTTATTTCTAAGGAGTGCTTAGATGGAATAGTGTTACCCCTTCAAAAGAATCGGTAACAATGGGGAGAATATCGCTAGCAAGGTTTACATAAAACTAAAAGTCATGTTATGCTCAAAAGCTTAAGTTTATTGCTCTATTTAATGACTACCACCAGTATTTTTAAAAAGAATGCCAGTTCTTCCCGCTAGCTTCTCACTGAAGGAAATATTTTAAATACAGCAATAAAATCAAGTGGTTTAAAGATAACACATTTTGCCACACATTCATGCAAACCCTGCTGACAGGATTTTTACAGGTTCATGGATACAGAATAAACATAAAGGATGGGTGCTGAAATATTGGGAAACTTTCCCCACAGTGATGAAGTTGTAGGCATAACTTTTCAGGCCCTACACTCTGCACCTACTGACGTCAATGGCAAAACCTCAGTGGGAGCGGGATCGGCCCTTATTTTTTCTGAGAGCTGCTTTACCTTCTCCTGATTTTTTCTGAGAGCTGCTTTACCTTCTCCTGATTAGGAAGTGCAGTGAATTCTCAGAATCTCATGCACTAATAAGAGTGGTGGGTTTGGTTATTGATACAAATGAAGAGAAGCAAGAATATTTTTAGTATTACAGCTTCTATTCACAAAACACTCATCTTTTATGTTAACGGTCCTGTGTACCTCCATTCTTTGCTGCTCAATAAAGCACTTAAATGTGTCCTTACCTCTAAGCATTAAACACAAACTACAGTCTTCACATCCTGACTGAGGTTTAAAAAGAAAGCATGTACAGCAGTCTGTACTATTGAAAAGGAAACACCGATGCCTGGACTAGTGATTAGAATAGGATAATGATTGTCTAAATTTGGTTTGAGGGCAAATTTATCCAAACGCAGCCAACACATTCAGACTGATTTTTTTTTAAAAGCTGCCTAAAGGATTTGTGTTAATTTTAATGAGCACTGGGCACCTGGTCATCCTCAAAGCTTTGAAACAAGTTTAAATTCATAGAATACAAGTAACTTTATTATTACTTTTAAAATAAAGAATAATTTAACTCACAAAATTCCTCACCTGATTTCAAACCTCTAATTTCAGGGAAATTGTATTCAGATTGAGGTTTGATTACATAAAAGGAGAAGCTGTGCAAAAATAAAATCGGATTACAGACTGAGGTGCCAAAACGTTGACAAAGAAAAGGCAAAGTGTAAAGAGTTTATGTTCAGATTAACTCCTACTAATCACCTCAGATTCACCTAGCTGTCAGGATACTGGGGTACATTGCTGGTAAGAATCGGAGGTAAGAATATGACTCAGATCATTGCAATATTTTTCCCCCTTAGTTCTGATAACACTGGTGGTGAACTGCTTTAGAAAAAATAAACAAGCAAACATGATGTACAAAACATCATTTCAACATGAATCTACTTGAATCTTTCAACGCAGAGGCTCAGAAGGTTTACGATATACACAGTATTCGGTAATTTTATATGTAAAAACAATCAGAAAGAGGCAAAAAGTTACTTTCAAGCTTAGTCAACATACAGCACATTTCAGCATGACAATTCAGAAAGTTTCACACTGTATTTGGATATATTAGCGATCATTTTTTAAAAATAGCAAACTGAAGACATTGGATTTTTTTCTGATTTTTTTCCTTGCTTTTGTAACAAATGAAGCTACTCTTCTTATTTACAGTATAAATAAGCCTTTTTTGGTGAAGATTATGTCCTGTCACACATGTTTAAGACAAGGCCTACCTCAGCTCTTAAATCTCAATGCAAACAAGAGCATAAAAGCAATATCAAAGTAAAATAATATATCTTTCTTTCCAGCTAAGACAATCACGTTACCATGTGTCTCTTATCAGATCTGAAATATCTATGAATGCAGTCAGAAGTTCTCTTGCTTTTAGCCTTTAGGAATATCATAAACAGTTATTCTTCTGCTGCTCTAGAAAGCTGTTTTCCGTACAAGCTCATGACATGATGGACAAATTGATACTGTTCACAAGTCTGGATCATTCCTCCCCTGAAAAGGAAAGAAAAGAAAGGGAGGGGAAACAACAGCCTTATTACATACAAAGAACATATCAGGAAATGACATAGCTAACATGAAGCTGATGTTACACACAAAAGGTCTATTACAAAGTTTCTTGAAACAAGTGAAAAGTGCTCATTGATTACAACCAGCTCGACGTCTGACCTCAAGATCCACTTTGAAAGTCTCCGCTAACCAAGGAATAGAAGGTAGTCAGAACAGGAATGGCCTTTAGCTTCATTTTTCTGAGACAGAGGCCCTCATCCAGTAAGGCAACACCCTCATCATTTACATTCATATTACTGGAGCAGCTACACTCCAAGCACCATTTTAAACACCATGAAAAGCAACCCGCTACCCAAAGGTCTGGACAAATGGGAGGAGGGAGAATAAAAAGGGGAAGTGGCCTATCCAAGACTTCACAGCTGCACTAGGGACTGAATTCAGGACTATAGGGACCAAGCCAGGCCAGCCCAGACAACTGATGTAGCACACAACCTCCCCATTCTGGAATGAGGGTTCTTCCCTCCATGCTATCCCCACACTGTGCTTTTGGCAAGTTCACCAGAGAACTAAGTTATGTCAAGCATGATTTTGGAACAGACAATTGAACTTCTAACAAAGGACAACTCAGATTTGTAACTGAATTGACTGCCATTTACACCTTGATCAGTAACACTCCCAGCACAGAAATCTGTTTCGGTTCAGCTTTTATTTCAGCCTTTGCTGTTCTCTTTAAAACTTCAAACCTGAAAGGAAATGCAAGCAGGAGAAGAAACAGTTTGTTTTCCACGTATCATTAGCTTCTATATTTCTGCAAGTAGCATATTAATCAACACATGAGTACTACAGTGGGAGACAGAAAACAAGAATAAAGCTGTTCATTTTAAGCAGATTCTACTAACACTTAAAATTCTGCTAAGAGTACCTCAACAACAGTCATATGATCTCTTGATAATCCATTATGAAAATAATTAAACCCTCTGGCTCAAATTCACAGAAGGTGATGCAGAATTGTGCCAGCATTAGTGCTGGTCCACAGATCCTGGGAACCCAGTGCCAAAAGGTGGCTGAAATGACAAGCTGTGTTGAGAAACACAGGACCCCACGGGTGGCCAGCGCCACCCAGACTGCATCAGTCTAAGGAAGACAGTATGTGGTGCATTCCCTCAGAAACCTCCACCAGAGGAAATTAATGAGAAGTTGCTTCCTCTAAGCCAAACAGATAGCAGACTGCTAGCACCCTCCTTGGGGACTGCCCTCTTATATGGGGTTCAGCCTAACAATTGTGGATCACACAGTAGCCATACCAGTAAGAGGCAGATGAGTGGGCAAGACAACCTCCTCCTTCAGCCTCTTGCAATCATTTTGTTGTGACTGTTTGAAATAACACTTGACAATGAGCAGGGATGGACAACAACTCATGCTTCAACTTCTCATCAATAAGCAAAGGTGGAAAACACACAGTGCATTTCTAAAAAAAAAAAACAAACATAAACCCAAACCTATTTCCTAGCTGAGCACCTCCTCCCTACCTGCTCTATTTAATACAGGCCTACTGAGCCCTTCTGTGCTGCACCCAACTTTGAAATATATTTATATCAGTTCATGACACACAAGGAACTTTAGTCATATCTGGCAATTACTCCCCATGCAACTCCATTAACAATGAGATTGCACCCTGAAGTTGTAGCAACAGAAGCACCAAGGTGGCCATCAAGCTTCAAAACACAGGAAACTATTTTTCTTTTTCATCTGGTGGCTTCCTCCCCTTCCCACACACATGCATACCATGACATGTGCTTGCTGTCCAGGCTTTGGCATAGAATAGAGAAATTATGTTTCCACCCTATTTGCCACAGAAATCTTTCAATTCTGAGTTGAATTGTGGGAAAGCACAGCAAATCTCTCTCAGTACTGTGGGAAGGATGCAGCAATGACCACTTCCTCTCCTTAGCCATACTAGGTTATTTTAGGACCAACTGTTGGCCACTGGTGCAAAGCCCAGTGCACAAGATTCTTCCAAGGGATCTGTAAGGGAATGACACATTTGTCCCCTTCATCCATTCCCACAGCAGCCTCAAAGGTGGTTCTCTGAGCTAATGTCAACCCCTCTACTGTTGTGAAGCAGTGAGGTGCATTCCTTTATGCTCCTTTACCCTCTTTCCCTAAGTCCCTGGTGACTCCTTCCCATTCACCCTATTTTCTCTAGCAGTAATCGTCAGACAGGAGGAGGAGACAGAAAAGGTCTTCCTTTCTATAACATGCTTGGACACTGTCTCATCCTCTTATGCTGCTTTTGAAGTCACATTGAGCTTTTGTGAGGCTTTAGTGACAATAACAGTGGATGGCAGCAGGACTTCCAAGAGACCATGAGACCCATTTTTCACTCCTTGAAGAAACCATGCTCTTCTGTAGCAGGGATGGTGATTTGACTGCTTTCTGTCTCGAGTATTTTCTCAAATGATGTTTCAGTGGACTTTTCTTATCCCATCCCATCCCTGAGAGGTACATGGCAGTTACAGAGTCCCTATAGGCTTTCTTTTCCTCCATGGCATCCTTTAAAGTTTAGTCTCCATTCTCCAGCCTCTGCAAATGACTGTCTGTTCCCCTCTTTCTGCAAAGCAAGTATTTTTAATTGGCCTGTATCAAGCACATTTGTAAGCCAGCATTTTCAACCTTCATTTGTATGGCTATTTTCCTCTGTAACATTAGTCACAGAGACCAGACATTTCAGATCCAGCCAGATATTTCAATTGGGCTATGGATAATCAGCACTCACTACTCATATTCTGGTTTTCTTTTTCTCGAGAAGCCTTTCCTTGTTCGGCCTGAAATCCACTGAAATAGCCAAACCTCTGAGCCCCTGCAGGTCCCTGTCTATCAGAGCCTCAGCAGGGCAGCAAGCATTTAATTTTCTGCCTCCCACTGAGCATAATTTCTCCTCAGAAATAAAGTTCAGCGTGCGGTTGAGGTTCCTTTTTTTTCTCAGAAAAATCTTTGGTATGTTTTTCATGACATTTCTTCCCCCGACTACATTTATCATTATCATTAGAGAGAGCACTGAGACATGTTTTGATGGCACTTGAAACCAGTGGGAGAGGAAAAATAACATCTCTGGTGCAAAATTCTAGTCTGTTTACTTCATAATCAAACTCAAGGTGGTGTGTTAAGAAATGCTTAACTGGAAACCACTGAATTTCTGGAGATTTTCACAGCTCCTCCCATACGTCTGCAAACACTCCAGACAGTGCATACTCCCCACAAAGTCCCAAGCAGAACCAACAGTGCTCACAGCTCCAACTGTGTAAGGCCAGCTTTCTCTACTCCTCCTGGGAGCAAAATGCTGATCTGTGGCTCTGAACTTAAGCACAGCAGACCTTTGAGGCTTTGCTTCTGTAAGAATATTGGTCCAACTCCTCAACTGGTGAAAGGTAATCCCTTTGTGCAGCTGCACAGATTTTTATGCCAGCTGTGAATCCAGCTCAGTCCTGGGGCTGTTCATTAAGCAGTCAAAACTACTTAGAATGGGACAACTTCCTTCCAGGAACGTTCTTCTCAGCCTCCATTTGTCTTCATTCCAATCCTGTTCCCATTTATTTCTGCTTAAGTAAAGGGAAAATTACCATCACATTTTTTTTCCTGGAAAGGAAACAGGCTTTCTTACCTGTCTAACCGCAACTGGCAGGCTGTTCGCAGTATGTCAACTATGCCCTCGCTCTTCAGCTGTTTACAACAGACACTAGTTGCAATAAAGCAGCCAGTCCTCCCGATGCCTGCACTAAGGGATGGAAAAGCAGAGAGAGGCAGTCGAGATGTTAAAATGGCTTAGCAACTTTCCCATTAAATGAGTGACATTAAAGCAGCAATCAAGGCCCATTATCCCTTTGCTCCCTCCAACCTTTGCCAGGTGGGTGCTTGCAAATATAAAACGGTAACTAGGAAAAGATACTAACTTCAATAGGACAACATAATTAAGTGTGAGCCACTCAAAGGATGGATGTGGCACATACAACACTAAAAATGGACTGCTGGGTACAGTTTGACCCAATGTGTCATTGAACCATTGAAAATAAGCAGTTAAACAGTATTTCTTAGTTAGACTTGCTTTGAAGGCAACTTTTGCTTTGAGATTCTTAATCCTAATAGCTTCTTCGAAAGTTATTTTCATTCACAGGTACAGTAAAAAACAAAACAAAACCAACCCCCTTGCTTAAAGAATTAGCGCTAACAGCAATGTGGAAGTGTATTGCCATTTGTTGATCAGATCTGCAATATAGTAATTCTCTGAATCTGTGCAGGCTACAACAAACTCACTAGTAAAGAAATTTCTTTGTCTTTCCTGAACATCTTTGTATATGATTCAGTCCTTGCTTAATGACCAGAATTGATTTTATTCTCAAAGGCACAGTGCTATCAAAGCTGTGAATTCTTCTTATCACCTAATAGGAAGCTAGCAGTAAAAGCTGACAGCCTTTCTTATGCATTAAATAATTAAGTGAGCATCCTCAGGAATAATTACTTGACACAACTGCAAGAAATCCTGCTTCCATTTAAATTGCGCTAAAGTCATAATACAAAAACACTGGCAACAAATGTATAAGCAATAACAGAGTTTGCAGTTAGCTGCTGCTTGCAAAGTCCTAATACTGTTTCTTTGAATGTATAGACAGGTTTTTCACTCTGCATTTGTGCTCATTAAGGAAACAGCTACATTAGAATTGTTTTAACTTCTATTACAGAATGATCAAGGTAACTCAATGGAAGTTTGGGGGATGATCTTTACGCACTAAGAACTCATCTCAGTCTTCAAATAATTGTGATGGAAGTACCTACCTGAGTTAAAATTTTTGTCCCTGAAAGTCTTTGCACCTCATGCCCTGACTTCTGTTTTCTTTACTATATCTAGTTTGTTCATCAATACTTCAAATATTTCAGTGTTTCCAAAGACTCTTTGCTGCATATGGATGTTTATCAATAGTTTTTTTTTTTTAAAAAAAAGCCCTTCGTCTTCCAATTTACGTCATAACCAAAAAGCTCCCAGTACACAGCTCTTGTATACTGTTTCCCATCCATAGATCTCAGTGTGTTTTGCAAAGGGAGTGAAGAACACAGATTTTTAGATAAAGCAAACAGCAATGAAACAGCACTTGTCCCAGGACAAGCTGAAGTATTCTCAGTGGCTGAGATAAAGTCATAATCCTTCCAAGGCTGCCCAAGAGTGGGGCATTATCCACAGGACCACTAGCCTGTCTTTAACATGATGCTGCTTTTAAAAACAAGGCTACAAAAATAATCAGAGGGATGGAACACCTCTCCTATTGAAGACAGGATGAGAGAGTTGGGGTTATTCAGCCTGAAGAATAGGCGGCTACAGAGAGACTTTATTGCAGCCTTTCAATACTTACAGGGGGCTTATAAGAAAGATGGGGACAGACTTCGTAGTAGGGCCTGTAGCAATAGGACAGGGAGTAATAGTCTAAACTGAAAGAGGGTAGATTCAGTGAGATATAAGGAAGAAATGTTTTACAATGAGAGTGGTGAAACACTGGAACAGGCTGCTTAGAGTGGTGGTAGATGCCCCAATCCCTGGAAATAGTCAAGTTCAGACTGGACAAGACTTTGATTAACTTGATCTAGTTGAACATGTCCCTGCTCTTTGCAGGGCAGTTTGGATTAGACAACCTTTAAAGGTCCCTTCCAATCCAAACTATTCTATAGTTCAGTGATTCTAACAACTTCACTACTAGGTTTGTATCTATTTTTCTTAAAGGTGCTTTATTTTACATCACTGAAGGCCAAAACCACAGTGCTTATGTACTACTGAGGAACTTCCACAAAGGCCAAAGGAGCTGCTGTGCTCAGCATAACACAGGCCTTGGCTAACAGCTTGTTGCATATACCTCTCTCAAATAGAGGCAATGTATTAAATTCCTTCTTCATATAATATGACCGCAACTGATAATAATCTGCAAGCGCTCTGGTCCACAGTTATCACATGAAATACTTCATAATCCTATCACCATGTCTCTTAGCAGTAAATTCATTTAAACATATCCCATTTCTACCCTGACTATTACTGTGTCATGGGGATGACACCATACAAGAGGACAAAACAAGTACGCAAAGAGTGACATGGTGATCAGAATCTTTATCTGCAGCAAATAATGTAATACTTCAAGGAGCTCTTAGAGAGTCACAGATTTTCAAGTGCAAAGGGAACCTTTTTACAAACCATTTGTTATTTTTCTCTGAACTCTCCCCAGTTTGTAAAAATCTGTTTTAAAACACAGGCAGAAAACCTGGATATGTGGCATCATATGAACATTTTACCAGTGATTACTCCACAGTAGCTTATAGGTGGATCTTTGATGACACTGGGCTACCCACCATTCATGCCAGCCAAGAGTCTCTTTAAAACCATTCCCATGGTATGATAATATCTCACTTACTACGGCTTCTGGATAGCAACCATCTTTCATTTCCTAGAAAATGTTATGCAAAACTAGGTAAAATTCCTTGCAAAAATCCCAAAGATCAATTTGGCAAAATGTATTTTACCAAAATTACGCCAGATTACCCTGGGAAGATTACTGCATTGCTTATCAGGCTTTCCGCTATTTACCTGGAATAATTGTTTTGAGAACTGACTTGCAGTTTTCAAGTAATCATATTTAACTTTTCTTAACACTGCCAAAACAGGAAATGCCTTTAGACCTCTGGAACTTCTCAAATTTTCCAAGAACTAGAACTCAGCTATACTAAACTTTAATGATTTAGAGCCTGTGGACCAATTTTTTTCACTCTCGGGTGAAAATCATCCATTAGAGTTGATTTAATAATGGTTACTAGTGTTGCTTAACACATTCTCTAGTTAGCAGCACAAAAAGCGTACTTCATCATGTCTACAAGTGATAAGTACACCATCCTATTTATTTCTGAAGACATAAGTACCTATCTTAATCTATTTTTTTCTGCTCTGTGATTGATAATTACCATTTTCTCATCAGGCTTCAACCCACCATACAGATTTTGCTTCTTCCATGTAAGAAGTTTTCATCTTTGCCAGGGGCTTTTCATGGATATTTCAGTTTTACTATCAATTGCATACATTTCCTGTCTGTTGATTAGCACTTGCTCAATCAGCTTTGCCACTTTGTTTTATGTATTACACTTAAACTACTGTCTTTGGCATAATGAGGATTTTTAAAAATCAAAGGAGGAATCTACAAAGCAGGGGGTTTCGAGGCTTGAAGTTGAATGTTCTGCTCGCTTGTGTCTCCCTAGTCGATTTCACTCAGAGTATGTTCATCTTTGCTAACCCGGCCCTGTTCATATCATTAAAGGCCCGTGTTACCAGTTAGGCAAATAAAATGAGACTGTTGTTACTTGTAACTGAGCCACCACCAGCTTCTGTGTTTAGCTCAGTGTGTATCTGAACATAACACTTGGAAATAGAAAATTACTGTCATTAAGTTTTAGAAGTTCCAAGCATATTTCAGAAGCAGTTGGGCAAGATCTCTCCCATGTGTGACTGATGGCTAACCTGACAGTATCTGCACTATGCCACTGTATGCAAAGAAACTCTTAGAAGTCAAATACAACATTTATTTACCTGCAGTGAACAATCACTGGGGCATTCTTCTCTTCTGCACTCTGCATCGCCTCTTCCACTTCCAGTACTAGCTGTAACAGAGGCGGGGCTTGATCTGGTGTCTTCTGGTCTGGCCAAGACGTGTACCAGTAATGTTTCAGGTTTCTGACTTCTTCTCCTTTCTGCAACCCAGTTAAGACAAACACCACAAAGTTTTAAAAGAACTTCTGGTTGCAAATTGATACTGAAACCTGGCCTTGCCTTTAAGAATGAGATGAGTAAATCAATGCTAAACAGAACAGGAGATGCAAATGGCAAGCCATACAACACAGAAATCTGGATTTCAAATATCACGCCTGCACTTCAGTAAACTGCCTTAAAAAAAAAAAAAAAAAAAAAGGTATCTGCACTATGCCACTGTATGCAAAGAAACTCTTAGAAGTCAAATACAACATTTATTTACCTGCAGTGAACAATCACTGGGGCATTCTTCTCTTCTGCACTCTGCATCGCCTCTTCCACTTCCAGTACTAGCTGTAACAGAGGCGGGGCTTGATCTGGTGTCTTCTGGTCTGGCCAAGACGTGTACCAGTAATGTTTCAGGTTTCTGACTTCTTCTCCTTTCTGCAACCCAGTTAAGACAAACACCACAAAGTTTTAAAAGAACTTCTGGTTGCAAATTGATACTGAAACCTGGCCTTGCCTTTAAGAATGAGATGAGTAAATCAATGCTAAACAGAACAGGAGATGCAAATGGCAAGCCATACAACACAGAAATCTGGATTTCAAATATCACGCCTGCACTTCAGTAAACTGCCTTAAAAAAAAAAAAAAAAAGCATGCTGCTCTTTTAGTGCCAAAAGCTGTGTGCAAAACACTCCAGGCAGTCTGTTCCCTCTTGACAGATTCATTCAGCAAAGCCAGAACTGTGCTTGTGACATAATTGCTTTCATAACGTATTTGACAGACAGAGAGCCAGGAGCCTTATCTCTGTCTCTGATAGCTAGATAGATAGATGAGGGAGAGAGATGGGAGCTTATTTTTCTATCTTTTCTGACAGACAGACTCATATCAGTTTCCTGTCAATTCTACTCTTCTCTTAGACACGGTGAGAATTTCAGTGACACTACGGAAGGTGGGAATTGAATCTAGCTGCAGTCCAGGGCTTTTTGAGACACAAATTCTAATTCTCTCTCTCTCCCAGTATGGCTATAAATACAGCAAATCTGCTATTACCTTTTCTGGATGCCAAGTAGCATCACATGCTTCTGATTTTGTGTGTTCAAAGTGACATCCTTCTGCCTGATTTCTAAAGGTGCCAAACAGTAACATGGAGCTCAGGGAACCTTTCAGTCTTTACAGAAGCCAGCTGGCATAAGGCTAAGCAAATATCTTCAAAAGGTCCAGGAAGAGACGTGTTAGCTTCCACAACCTTCCCCTTAAACATATGGCTTGCCAAGTTATAAAAGGGGAGGTAAAAGAGAATTAATTTGTCTCTTTCTAAAGAACCAGGCACAAAAATCTGGAAGTAGTTTTTGTCATCTATACTCCTAAGTCCCTATGACTGTCACTGGATGTTAAAAGTGGTCTGGGGCTGTTCCATCCTTCTCTTCGGTTGAAAAAGCTTCTGCATAGCTTCGCAGTGAAACAGATTGGGGATGTGATATAGTTAAATCTTTTTTCTTTCTCAGACTGGATTAATTTTCAGATGGATAGATCAATTTCCCCCTTTGGCTTGTCACACAGTCACATAAACACTTGCGTGGGCACATGGGAGATATCACAAGGGTAGGAACAAAAGAGCTGGACAAACACTTGCTGCTCCAGCTTATATGGGTTTAAAGTGCTCATTGAAGCACAGCCACAGGAACCTTAAGGGTATGTTTAGCTCAGTTTAGGAAAAGAGTCTTACTATCATAGCACAGAGCCTGGCTTTAGGTTATTTGCTCTGACGAGAAGATACTCTGGTTAAGAGAGCGTAATTAGTTGTCATGAATAGTACTTGAGCTCGCTACAGTAAATCTGATCAAATTTCATAACTCCTGTGAAACATGAACATACACAGCTGCTTTTGAATGTGTGACTATGTGTGAGCAACAGAAGTTATGAACACAGGATTCTTAAGTGGGTTGTAGAAAACTGTAATAAAAGTGTTGTCAATAATACTCAGAAAAGTAAAAGATAAAAGTCATCTGAAGAAAAACACGAATCACTATATAAAGTCACTCATTTGACAGAAAAAGAGTCAAAGTACAAATAATGAACTCTGGATGCCCTTAGTTTTGACTACACTGTTACCAGTTTTATGCTTCTGCTTAGACAATCCCAACTTCTGCAGTTCCATACACTTCTTTGACTTAAACAAAATATTCTCTATTGGTGCCTCCTTGAGACTGAGAAGACTTGGAAACAAGTAGGAAGAAGCATGATTTAACTGATGGTTTGAATGCTACCATCATATATGCTGTAGCTGAGATCATGAATCAGTGGCTAGACACTGGCAGGTTCCTTTGAGAAAGGAAAACAAGCCTTGCTCGATTGCCTGAGCACTTTCTAAATTCCTAAAGCTTGCCAATTCCAGTCTCCTATTCTGAGTACACCCTGTAACACATGCAGTAATTGTACATGGCTGGTAGTGGTATCACATATTTCTGACCACTCCTGTTTAAGGGAAAACAAGAGTCAAATTTTCACTTCATTTCTCTAGTTTTCACTACCATGTCTTTTAACATACACCTAGTTGGAAGCCACTACTCCACTATTGCTATTAAATGACAAATGTACAGCTCTAGGCAATGTTAACCTGACAAACTGAAATTTCATTTCAGCTCTAGAACTCAGCAGTTAATTCCTGACATTTGAGGGTGGGAGGAAAGAGACACTGCCCCACTAGTACTGAAAACTGAAAAACAAACGAGGATGCGCTTAAAGAAAATAGTCTAATGATCAAATCGTTTGAGTAGGGAAGGAACTACATCCTTGGAGATGTGTATATGCAATAAAGGCTTTTGCATCATTTGGGAGAGAAAGCACTTGTCTGTCCTGGCTATTATTGAGAAAAACGTGTGGTATCCATACTTTTCTCCTTATGACTTTGCTGAACTCTGCCACCCTAGCTATTCTTTTTTTCTTTCTGTTACTGCCTGAACCTACTGGACATGCCAGCCCTGACAAATAATCTGACTTTCAGTTTCCTGGCTGTTGGGTTTTTTTTCCACTGTGGGATCCATGGTCATATATACAGAAAAGATATATTCATATATTGTGACTCTAAATTCTGAAGCTTCTTCTCTAATGTGAAGAGCTTCACCTAAGGAAGAACTGAGCAGGGACAAGAGAATTTGGGAAAAAACTATGAGGTTGCTGTTGGAAGAAAACATTCTGGAGGGATGAGTACTAGCTTGAAATATATTTGCGATATGGGAATACGGCTTATTACACGTGAATTGTTGTATATATAAGCTCTTCAGGACTGTCTCTCTGTTTTGTGCAACACCTATTAAAGTGATATTGATTTTTGGATATGCTACTGCAATACTGATATTAAAAGCCACTCCCTTGCAATTCCATCTCAAAATGGAACTGGCTATTACCTTCCTGAGAAAAATTTGAATGATCCTTCCCCAAGAAAAGAATCAAATTTCCTTCCAGAAATATAGCGAGGAAGTGATGTTTGGGTCTTTTCAGGGGTGAAGGAGTGTAGGAAAGAACATTTCAATCTAAATCTCTAAAGTTAATGTCAAGCTGAAAAAAAAGATTTGCAATACTAATATTAAAATGTTGTACTTAATTATTTAAAACAACTATGAACAACTGAGTGTAGTTTTTTATTGAGGAAATTTTGTTTTATCACCATGACTAAAAAGTGACTGATTCTGTTAGGTATCAGCATTCCATCAGAATTAATCTATGTTTATTCTTGCTGCTGCTCTGTAGTGTTTTAGATAAACTGTATTTAAGACCCCTGCAAGTCTGCAATGTACTTGTAAATATTCTTTACTTCCCACTCGTCGGGGAGCGTGATTTTCCTCTTTGCTGCCTTTGCCAAAAGCATGAGTGACAGACTTTCCACACTCTCAATCCAGGCATAGGATTTCATATGCTGGCTTTCTGCCTATTAGCATATGGCTAAAGAGATTTGAAACTGGTTGGATAAGAGGAGTTTTTTCAGTTTGGAAAGAAATTGTTGTGTTATACTGAGGTCAGGGGTAGATCTGGTAGATGAAAGAAGTATAAAGTTTATGTAAATAGACTGTTCTTACTAAAACATGTAGCTTGAGCTTCTAGAAGCTAGCAATGAAAACAGTTGTAAAATAGGATGCTGGTAATTTAAGTAGCATCCCAGTACTTAAAAAATTAAACCTGATTTTAAACTCTCCATCCACAAGATGATAATGTAAACATGGAGAATGCTGCGGTGAAAGTGTTTTTAAAGGTCATCAAGAATTTTAGCGTCTGGGAGGGGAACGATCCCTTAAAGCATCTTCCAAGTCAGATCGCTCAAAGAATAGATTAGCATGGTACCTATTAAAAGGTGTTCAGCCACGGTGAACAGAAGTGGTGCCACCATATCACTGACAAGTGCCAAGCAGACAAGTACTCCTACTGCTGAGAGAAACTGAAAACAGGTAAGCAAAATTAAAAAGCCTTTTCCCCAGTTCTCAACTCCCTCACTTCTGGTTAGCAGCACAAGTCATCTTAGGTATAAACAGCTGGTGAGTAGCCAGTAGTCTGACAGCATCCTAATAACAATCGTAAAAAGAAAAGAAGCACAACCTAAATATTTTTTAGGGGTTTTCCCATACTACAAAACATGTAAGGTGCCATGCAGGTAAAAGTTCCCTGTTAGTCATCAGTAACCCTTGTTTTAAGTCCATGGCTGGAAAAATAAACAAGCCTTTGAATTCTACAGAACATCATCACAGAGTTTAGCAGGTTATTCCATCGGTGCTGTCTGACTTGCAAAGGCTGGTAAGAAGCTACGCGTGAGCTAACATGTCACTTGAAATGACCAGTCAACACAGAAGACACAGGAACAGAATGAGTCACTGGTTTCTTCCACTGAGTGAACACCATACTATTACAATTGGCCTGTTAGCTTTGTACATAAGCAGTCTAAATCTCTGACTGCTTATTTTACTTTTTCTATGGTTTTGTATATTGGTGAACTGGACAAAACTATTATGACTTCAGTAATGAAAAGTGATATTTTTACAGCAGTAAACTGCGCAGAATATTTCTACACAACTCTCTATGAACATCTCCATTTAAGGGTTAAGACAGCTATATTACTGTAAGTACATTGGAATGATTTACCTTTAGGGTGATGAGCCTCAAACGGTAATCGTCTGCTTGTATGACTTGGTTAACTGTGATTTCTATTCCTTCATAGGTGACCTGTTCCTCTGGCCAATATTCTGTGCATTTCTGTGTGCAATATAAAATAAATCTAGTTAAGCAGGTATCAAGGGGGATTCATTTTTACTCCTCTGAAATTGGATATAGCACATGCATAGATGAATATGAATGAACCTTGTTTCTATAATAAGTGCAAGTTTCACTTTCTAAACAGGGACCACATTTCAAGTCATTTTTGCTGCATTCGTAATAGTCTGATTGCGTGATTAAAAATCCACAAATCAAGTAATGACTAACCAATGCTTTTAAATACACACATCCTTATTTATCTTTATGCAACTGATATGCATTTTGAAGGCTCATGAGAAAAGCCAGTGGCCATGTGCCTGTGTTTTTAGATTAATCCTTTCCTTAAGATAATAACGATTAGTATAATATAACTAGTGTTAATTACCAATATTTCTGTAGTGTATACACTGATATGGAAACACAAAATAAATATTTTCTATTTTTTATATTCAGAGAGCACTGACCCTTTATAAGATGATAGTTTACACAGGTTTTTTGTACAAAAGAACATGACTGGGGATGTTTTGGGAATTAGATTACGTACCAAATCCTCTTTAAATGGACACTGAGAATCTTTCAAAGCTAAGGAACTAAATGGAAGCAATAGCTGTGAGAGCTATTAGAGTACTATATTTGATTTTGCCAAAAACCAGTCAGAGATGCAACCAGCACAACCTGATAATTAGGAGAGGAGAAACTACAGCCCATTTGCAAATCTACCTCGTGGTACTCATACACTAGACATAAGTGAGAATTTGTAAGCACTCCTATCCTGGAAGAATGACTGAAAGGGCTGCAGGTTTTGCTTTGCAATTTCTCTTTAAACTAATCAATATGCAAAGGAAGAGACAAGCACTGCAACATGGTGCATGAACTAGTTCATGGACAAGAAATGACATGAACAGGCAGAGTCTGAGAAAAAGGCTCCCTTGTGGTAATGGAATAAGTTATCTCAGTAAGAATCTGGACAAACCCAGTTTAAGATGATACTTGTAAACATCTTGTTTTACATAGCTGTACACAATCTTGAAATTGTCTTGCTCTCCTCCACCAAAAATTATTTCACTTCAGGAGAAAGACTAACAACAGAAAAGTATCTTGCAAAGTTACTGAGTCAAAATTTTTGTGTGGGAGACTGAGAGTTGTTCCATCTGCATAGTGCATCAGTTAATAACCCACTGGGAATGTGGCCCACTGTGTCTCTGTAAAATTATTTACGCAGATTGCATTTTTTCTTCCTCTCCTCTTAAACTGCAGAATCCATTGTGAAAATTGTCAAGAGCGCTAGCAGCTATCAATAGCACAGACGTTGCTCTGCTTAAAGGAGTGGAGTAAGATTGCCCACTCATTTCTGTGGGCTGTCTGTCAGTTCAGATTAGATGTGACAGAGGGCTGAGATACAGAGCTTTTAATACTCACGTTAGCAAAGTCATTGCACTGAGGAACACAAAGCCTCTGTAACTAGCATCATTGTCGAACAAAGGTTTTGGATTTGAATCTATGTACTTCCGAATCCTGTTATTCATATATTAATATATGTCACAGAAGAAAGGGAATGAATATGGTAGACATGTACATGAAAGGACTTACCCTATATTTATGGCTGAGATTCCTGACACCATTTAGTTTTTGACACAAAAGTATCAGAAAAGACTCAGGAGCTCTACTGCAGTATATAGGCTGTAGCAAGCTCCAGTTATATAGTGCATTGGCACTACAGTGCACTGCTTCCCAAGACTGGTATGACAGGTGAAATACTTGGTCAGTGTGGATAAGAGGAAATTCAGATGTAAAGATTATTTTACATTCCTGTCACACATTCTTGCTGTGAAAACTATAGTGGGAGAACTTATCAGCAGATAATGTCATTCAGGACTAGTGTTTCCTCTGCATCATCTTCTTTAAACCGCTAAGTCCTTAAATGATTCTGGTAGATTATGCCATGACTTTTTAGTATCTTATTTGCCATGAACTGGCAATTCTGATCAATGAGCAAGCACTTCAGTGCTGCCTCTCAGAGTTTAAAATGTTCGTGCAAACAAAACATTTAGATAAGCAACATACTTTTACTTTGCATCACCAATGCCTTGACAGTATGCATCCAATCAGCCAGCTGTAATAACTGACCATTTTTAACTTGCAAAGCATGATAATTCTGTGACTGTCTTGTTCATGTCTTTTTTCACTAAAATCCAAGGTTAAATTTATCTACTTCACAACTGGGGAAAATAAAGGTCTGTGCACATGCATAATTACAGGACTAAGCTTTCAGCTAGCAGTTAAGCCATTATAACTCCATGTGTATGACAGAAGTACACTCATATTCTTGGCCTTCTAAGTGTCTGTAAAGCCTCTTCTCCAAAGGAAACTCACCTAAATTACTAATGGGTTCTCAGGGACAAGCTTTTACAAATACTGCTGCTGCAGCTTAAGAAACACCATCTGGATCTCTCCATTACACCTTGCTGCCAGTGGTGAGAGGGGATGCAGAGCCCAACACATGCCCAGACCACTTTCTCACGTCTTGCACTGTCAATAACAGCAGACATAAGCTCAGCTACCTGTCTGTGAACTGAAGCCCAGGCACATGGTCCTTGCAAGTCTGCTGTGGGGCAAATATTGCAGCATGTAAGTAATGAACAGCTGGAGGGCAGCAGTATTTTAAACTGCAAACAGAAATCACATTAGGTGGATTAGCAGAAACACCATCACAGTTCAACTTCTGGAAGTAGGGGGCAAACAGAAAATTTCAACATCTTAATTTCAATATTTCAAAAGCATTCAGGAAAAGGTCCTCCATATCCAAGTCAGCTTTAGTTGTTCATTATTGTAACTAGCATCTTTCATAATTCAGGGACAGCCTCAATTAACTGTGGATATAGACATTGAATCAAAACAACTGCAAGATAAAGCAGCACCAACTCTGTTGATTAAAGATATTCAACCGTACTAGTTATAGGGTACTATTGTTTTTTGATTCCTTTAGAAAGAACTTGAAAGACTGTCTCCAAATAGAGCTGGCTTTGAAGAGGTTTCAGGTCAGCTGGGAGAGGAAAAATGGCAAAACCAGCAGTAGGCTAAGTCAGCAAAAGAAGACTTACAGTAAACTGATCTGAAAGAGAAGCCCACATCTTCTCTGAGCCTGAAGAATTTAATGCTGGCTCTGATTGCTCAGGCCACTGAACCAATTTCTGTTCGCTGGTTTAGCATCTATGCCAAAAATATTTGTTAGAGTACAGATAAAAATACAGACTATATGTAACACCATTACCTCATTCATCTCTTCTATATTGGTAATCATGACAATGATGGGAGAACGCTCCTGCCACACCATTCTCCAGAAATCACTGACAGTATTAACTATCGGTCCCTGAGTAGCAATATATACCTTTTCCTCTCCTCCATAGCCCTGCCAACAAAACAACAAGAGATCAATTTTAACAGGGATGACCACCACAACCTTGAAGGTTCAGTCTTTAAAACAGAGAGCTACCACTGGTTGGAATGGTGACTCCATGGCATCAGTTGTTCTCCTCTCTGGCTTGCTCCTGCACATGTGTACGTGGAGCAAAGGCACAATATAGACTCACATAATTCCAGCAATGAGTGTCCAACAGCCTTGAGGTGACTCTGGCTAGGTCAAGAGCCTTATTCAGGCTTATTATCCAGTGCCTCAGTCAGGCCAGCTGATGAGCAATTTGCATCAAGAAGTGCAGAAGTGTGTTTTTGTCTGGTCTCAACCTGTACAGTTGCACTCAGACTTGGTTTTCCGTTAATATAAGCAGGAGAAAAGAGCAATCACTTCAACTAGAATGCCTTTAAAAGCCAGTGGATGTTGCAGTTCTATTTGCATTAACAGTGGCTGATAGAGGCTACACAGACACATTGGACTATTGAGCTCTTACCCTGATGTAGTTAGCATTGATGTAAGAGCTAAGGGGGTCGTCCTGATCAGCTGAGGTAAGGCACACTCTGCTGTGAGGATCTGAAAGGTGTAAAGAGGTAAGTAATAGTTTATCAGTTGCTCAGAGGAGAGAGAGACACACACACACAAGTTCATTTTGTACAGCGAGACATTTACATGCATTCATAGCCCTCACAACAGATGTGAGCGGCCTTGGAGAGCTTCCATGTCAAAACGTTACCATAAAAAGAAAAAGGGTGGTTGGGGTAATTTGGCTTCTTCTGATAGTTTTATCCACTCTCTGAAGCCTGGTTAATTGTTCCTGTTGCAGACTCAGTGTCCCAGGGTGACTCTGGAAAGGCAGTTTTCTGCTCCAGGAAATTATTTCTCAATTTGTTAGGTCAACAAACTCATTCTGGCTTGTAAGACATTAGAATATTGTTTGTGAAATGACAGCAAACAGCTTTTCTCCCAAACCATAAACACGCATTCCTTGCACACAGGCAAGCCAGATGACAATAACTCTTTCCCTGTTTTGTCTTGCAATGGACTCAACTCCAAGATGTGCTATTAACAAATATAATGGTTAAAGAGAAATTAAAGAATGTTAACAGTCTCTTGTACTTTGCATAAGCCTCTTCAGTACTTCAGTCTCCCTCACTGGAGCTGTTTATGAAGCGTTACTTGTTTTAATAAGACAAATGAAAACATTATTCCCCCTGAGAAGTTCAGTCCAATTCCCACTGAAGTCAAAGGGAGCTGTTCCACTGATTTTAAGGTAAGCTGACACAGGCCCACGTTCATCCACTTTCACTAGCGCTACACAGTCTGTCATCATTGACATGAAACCTCCTCCTGACAGAGGTCTCAGCAACAAGCAACACCATATATCACCAGGAGAATATTAAAAACAAACCACGCATTACTTCTTAAAAAAATCCAGCCTGCTTAGAAACCAGAACAAAACAAAAAAATAGGCAAAACTGGTGTGATACTGGGTAAAGCACAAAGGACTAAGCACACTGTAATTTCTACAGTACTTCAAACACAGACTCAGCATGAAAAGCTGTCCTTTGAATGGATTCATGTTATCTATCATGTGATAAAATAATCACAATATACAAAGCAAAGATACTAACAAAGATACTGTTTCATAGCATGGAAGTACTGAAAACAGCAAATTCTTTTCTAATACAGTTCTCTCCTGCTCAACTTTGCTCGTGTCTCTAGTGCTGGAGTGACGGTGGGACAAGAGGTAAAATATGCTTTTAAATCAGTAATTTCTGATAACATGTCATACTGTTAGAAAGGTGACGTTGGTTGCCACTTGTTTATTCAAATGTTACTGGACTGGGTAGTTAGACTCCTTGCATGAACTCCCTTTGCCTAGGTTTTACACAGTCATCCATAGAGTCTGCTGAAGTCTGAGTAACTACTACATGATTTTTCATTACTAATAATAGCAGTAATACTATGTTGTCCATTTTATGATGGGTCTTCAGGGAGAAATAAAATGGATATGAAGACCTCTATGAACAGATGCCACAGACTTTTAAGCACAGATTTCATTTAGTATTCTTCAACTACAGCAGAGTTCTAGTTACTTTTCACTGTAGACTTTTTTATTGCTGCATCCACAAATATTAAAACAATATTCAGAATACACTTTTACTTTGAATTATAATACTTGGCTTGTGATTTTTCTGTTAATGTAGTATTTATATTTGTTAAGGTAGTATGCTAGCAAACAGTCCCAACCTTAAGAAAGGCCTATCAATACACTGTTAATACAAGAATGTGCACTGGTTTGCAGAAAGTGTAACCAAAACTGAATTGCATATCTTAGAAATATATAATCAGGAATAAGTCCTCCTTTAAAAAAAACAACAAACATAACAAGACTTCAATACAGAAGTTTACAGTATGAATTTGAAATTTTTAATAGAGAGGCATTTAAGCAAAATCAAATCCTACTCTTAATGAAAAAATTTCTCCCAGGGCAAAATCAGTGCACAGGCCAGATTCAAGAAGACATCAAGCCTTTAAAAAAGCAGTAGTAGTCTGTATGTCTAAGAAACCAAATGATATGCCAGCTATTTTTTCCACAGTCTCTTTTATGGCCATTTTGGGTTGATACTACATCTGACATTTTAGAGGAACTTGCTAAAGTTAACTGAAATATTTTGCATAACTTAAAATGGTGTAAAAGCAATAGAGCTATGTAGAAATTTAACAAGGCTGTCCAGATGTTACTTTTGAGAAAAGAATTCAATGAGACTGATGTACAATGTATTCAAATAAATTCTGGCCATCTCTGGAATTCTAAAGCAAAAACATTATTTTCTGTATATTCAAAAAGCGCCTCCAAACATCTTAGAGAAAGGTTATCATTTTCCAGGAAGTGCCATAGGACTCAACCCCAGAAAAGGACTGTCTACAAACAAACAAATTCATAATTACGAAATATCCAAATCAATGTCCTCAGCTTGGCATTTTTCCCAAAACACCCTTCTGCCATCAAAAAGCCACTTTCTAAGCCATTTTACTACTAACAGAAAAATTGGAGAATCTTCAAAAAGAATCTACTACCAAAAAAAATATAAAAGAGATGAATTATAGACTACTATCCTGTCTCTCACTCACTACAATCAACTCTAGGGTTGCGAGTAACTGACCATTATGTTAAAGTGACTGCTTACCTTTTAATGATAGCTGCCCAGACTGCTTCTGGCAACGTAGCTGGTAAGGGAATTTTAGTTACTTTTTAAATTCAGGTTTTGGGTTTGACTCCAGTTTGGCAATTAAGCCTTTACTGTTCCCTACAATAATCAGTTGTTTGAGTTTGCTCTGTTGCAGCTTGTTCAGTAGTTCCTGCCATTGCTGCCTTCTGCAGCTAGAACTTGGAAGAATGCAAAGTAGATACTTCAAGACAGTGTTGGCTACATTTGGTCAGCTCAGAAATGAAAAAGTCAGTGGATGGTTAAAGCCTGAAAAGCACTGGACTCTTCCTCATCTTGCCTCCAGTTCCCTCTCCTACTTTGTGCATGGATAGTTTACTGGGACCCTCAGCTTTGAAGCACAGAGGGGATGTTTAGCTCTCCTTGTTAACCTCTTTACTGCCAGCACCAAGCCCTTCAAAACAGAGATAGTTGGGTAGAAGTGAAGAGTCAGACCTCTACTTTCCTCAGCAATATCAAGACATCCTTTGGCCACAGCCAGGGACAATGATGTACAGAGGTCACTACTTCTAGAATTCATTCAGAAAAAATATCCAGAACACAATGAGCTTAGAATAAGCTTGTTAATCCTTGGAGGCATAGAATCATAGAATGATTTGGGTTGAAAAAGATCCTTAAGATCATCAGCATGTGAAGAACTGACTACAACCCCCATTCATCATCCCCCTGCACTGCTCAGGGAGGGAGGAGGCAGAGAAATCAGAAGCGTAGTTGTGCCCAGGAAGAAGCGAGGGGTGGGAGGAAAGTGTTTTAAAGATTTGGTTTTTGTTTATTACCTTACTCTGACTTCTAATTGGCAATAAATAAAAACAATTTCCCCAAGTCAAGTCTGTTTTGCTGGTGACGATAATTGCTGAATGACCAATCTCCGCCTTATCTCAATCCACGAGCCCTTTGTTATATTTTTTCTCCCCCATCCAGGTGAGGAGGGGAAGGGATAGAGCAGGTTTGATGGGCACCTGGCACCCAGCCAGAGTCAACTCACCACACAGCAACTCTGATGTTTCAGTTAAAACATCCAATATGAGATATTTAAAATGGATCCAGTTCTCAAAGTACACATTAGATAACAAATTCAGAAAATATAGATCACTCAAGTCTAGCAGTCTGGGCATCTGAAATCGCTACTTATCACGACTTAGGCAATCTTCCCTGTCCAGCAAAACCAGTGAATTAATACTTAAATGATTCACCTCAGTCAGCTCCCAATATTCTCAGTTTGCATTTGAGGCACGATTCTGAGAAAAGCATTAGTTGGGAAAACGAAATTGCTAGAATTTAGTCCTTCGAAAGTGTTTAATCAAAGAAACCACTAAAGTAACATCTGAATAAACACATCAAGTTCTTGGGCAGAATTTTTAATCAGCACCACAAGATGCAATTCTAATTACTTAAAAACCGAAGTGCTACAGATGTTCAGTGAATCTTAGGTCCTTCATGTTCTTCTGCTTCATTTGAAGCAGTGCTGCTGCTTCATAAACATGGCCTGTGGACAACACATGGGAGTGACAATACATTTGATGCCTTCTGGAAAGGAAAGTGCAAAGCCCTTCAAGCACGAGGAATAAGCTACCCTGCCTCAGTGAGTTAAAAAGAACGAAACTTACTTGGGAGAATTGTTTTGTAGCGATTCTTACGCACTAAGCCTGGAATATCATATTCCTTTGGATCCACAAAGTTCATTGGAATTTCCTGTTTAAAAAACCAAAACAACCAACACAAAACACAGTAGTTAGTATTATTAAATTCACAAAAGGAATAAAAAACCCAAGCCCATTACGTCCTGCCTGTGAGGGAGGCAAAGTGATGAAGTCAACTGAGACATATGGTACAGTACTTCCAGCAATTTACCACCAGAATATGATTGATGTTTCCTTTTACTGTCACTGGCTTTCTTTTCTGAAATCCTTAATATGAAAATGCTCATAGTGACTAATTCATTGAGTAATATATGCGACGGCATTATGTTAGCTCCTAATATTATTAGAACTGAATTGCATGTGTAGGCACAGAACTAAGCAAAAGGTGGTACGTAAGATACTCTGCTCCAAAAGCGATGGACCTCAGACACCATCCTTTCTGACTCACACTCCTCCTTCCTCTCTGAGGGTGGAAGGAAATAATTTGCTAATGACTCTCACCAGCAACCAGTTATAACCTACATGATGACAGGCTGGTGTATTGATCTGACTCTATGGAGCTGAGGAAGTGTCACTCTTTGCCCACCACACTTTACAGCTCCACAGGCAAGGACAGCAAAGAAATGTTCAGGGATTACCCACTCTCTACACTACTGACCCAAAGAACACACAAAGAGGACCTTCTTATTCTCCACTACTCATTCTCCTGCAAGTAAGTGGCCAATGCCATGCAGAAACAAACAGGAACCTTCTACCAGCTGCAGTTAGTAGGCATGTGATGAGATGGGATATGTCAACCAGGCTCAGCAGAGGAAGAGCTCATGGGAGCTTGGGAGCACAGCTGATCATCCCAGCTGCTGCACACTGGATTTGAGAGGCCAGTACTAGACATACTGGTAACAGGAGTCAGGGTTACGTAAGACAGGCCTCACTCCGGGAAGAAATTAAAATGAACAATTATGGACTATGTTAAATTCTGGAGCTTTAGAACACTATTCGTATTATGTCTCCTACACAGCACTGAATGTACTGTTTGGCTTAACCCAAGGCAACTAATAAAAACATTTTGTTGAAGTAATTTCCTATCAATTTGAGGAACTCCATGGGAATGAAACCTTCATGTTTTCTTCAATTGTTACTTGGTATTTAGTCACCCAAAACTCTTCTTGAGCCAAGCTCCATGGTTTGTCTTTGGGACTTAGTCGACTGTTTACTGCTCAAGCAAAATCTTGGTGAAATCTACAGGACTTCTGCCTGAGTCAAAACTCTAAGTCTTGTAAGAATTTCAGGACTTAGTTCTGCAAGTGACATCCACTCTGAGTTTTCTTCCAAAATGAAACACAGCTGCTTGCTTCATCGTGGATCTGGACTTTGAAAAAAACCTAGTAGGTTGGACAGACTGAAAATACAGGATGCAAAGCTAGTGGGTGATAACTGTTTCATAAAAAAAATAACTAGATTACAATTTTTAATTACAGAAATTACATTCTGATTACACAGCATTTTTATCTACGCTTTTTCAGTTTTCATTAAAGAATGAAAATGACTTGGGATAGTTTGGCTGTTAAATGATTTTTCTGAACACCAGGAAAACAAATTCAAAGTCTCTCAGAGAAACAAAGCATATTTTTTCCTACTACTAACATAATTTTCTTTGCTTGAATGCTACAGTGCACCTCAGAGACAGATGAAACTGTATGTAGACTTGTTCAGCAGTCAATTCAGACACTCGCTAAGCGAACATTTCCTCCCTAGAACAGCAATAGATGCTTTGCTTTAAAATAATCAGGGCTTGCCTATACAGAAGCTGCTTTTCTTCAACTTGTACAGTGATAAGTGAATGAAGGACCACAGATATCTGGTGGTCTGTTTTAAACAGTAGTCCAGACAATTTCATTTCCCCCTGCACTTGTAAAGTGGGAGAAAACACAACTCCTGAAACTGCACAAGGAGGGAGGACAGCAAGTGATGCTCAAAGTCCTTTCAGACCCCTGCAAGTCATAAGAACAGGCTGAAAGAGTTGTTAGCTGCAAAACATCATTTTCCTCCTGCTCTGCTGACTTTCCATGCTTAAAGAATATATGAATTGGCAGCATTAACTTCAGTAGCTCTTGATCATGCACTCTGAAATACCCCAGCATACAAAGACCTCTGTAACCCTGGTTACCTCTTATCTTTTACAGGAATTTACAACCCTGCCTAGTAGGCATAATACTCCTAGTCACTGCAGCATTTTGTGTATTTTTTTTGTCCAGTATAATAAACATGACAATGTCTATCACAAGGACACTCAAGCACCTAGGGAAGAGACTTACAGAGTGCAAAGATCTGGAAAGCCAGTGTACTCACTACACCAAAGTCTTTATCCTAAACTACTTAGAAATCAAGTTTTCAACTTCTTGCTTCACCTGTGTGCATGTATTTTTTCCCCAAATGTGGCAAAGAATTCTTTCTCCCAAAGCAACAGTGGTTACAGTGAGCCAAAGAAACGTATTTCAGAATCCTAAAACCAACTGATAGAACAGCTTGCAACTAGTAAATAATTTTTGTGCAGAAAAAAAATCAGTAATACATACTTTCTACAGCTCTTGCTGAGTGACACAACCATCCTGTGCTTTGGTTATCTGGAGAACATTCAGGCTTGGAAAGTAGCTCCGTGCCAAGCATTCAACAGCAAAGTGCATGTACTTGGACTAATTGAATCCCTAGGGCAACTCCAGGCATATTTAAAGAAATTATGTGTATAGAAAACCTGGATTTTCTTCTGTACTCTAGTGAAAAACTTCGATATTTTTGTAGTAGCATGTAGTACCATGCTGACAGGAAAAAAAACAGAGTTGTGAAAATAGAGATCTTTTTGTTGTTGTTGCCAGAATGAATGCTCTGGTTTTTAAATAACAATATCACTGAAAGCTTTCAGACATTGTCATTTCAAAGCGTGACGAATTTTGGAATTGCATTAAATGTTACACTGATAGAAGTGGAGTTTGTATATACTAACTTTAGACTTTCAGAAAATAATAGCAAGGTTTATAGAGAAGAGACAACATATGCTTTCAGATGCTTCTAGAAGACAGAGGTCAGATACTCACAAAGAACTCTGCCTGGAGTATGAAAGGATCCAGTGCTTTCTTGTGCAGTTCCTCTTCAGTGAGGATGTTTGATGCTGTCTGGAGGTATTCTTGAGCTGACTGTTCCCGTGGTGACATAACATAGCCAAAACCTTGCTCAGAACAGCCTGGGGTACACATATCCAGTGTGAGTGAAACATTTGAACCTCTCCTGCAAAACAGAGCAATCAGAGTTTGCTTACAGCACAACAGACTGACTCGTCACTGACAGCAATGGGTACAGTCCCAATGATAAATAGCAATTTAGAAAAGCACCCAGCTGGTTCAGTTGTGTACATTTTGGTCACTGACTGCAAATAATGGGTGATGCTTCTTGTGTAGACAAGACCAGGAGATGATTTTGTACACTGGAATATGAAAACCAACACTTTTGAAGTGTTGTCTGTAGTGAGATAACCGTATACTTTGTCGCCTAAACACAAGCAACTTGCTTGTCAAATGTGCTGAGCAGGCAATTGCAGGAAAGTTCTCATACTTGTGGAAATCATACCATATTTTTGGATATCTGAATATGGATTGACATTTTAGACACCACAGGTGAAAATATTGGTCTCAGTTTTCGTCAGGCCAGATCCTACTGAGTAACTATTTATTTGTAGCATAGACAACATCGGTGGGGTAAGATCTTGGGATAAACATTACCAATTCAACATAAATAAAAATATGAGATGCAAACCATTACAGCAAATAACTTTTCCATCTGAAAACTTTCTTTCCACAACACTACATCATAAGAAGGCTAAAATGAAGGTCCCGACATTTTAAAAGTAACATTAAAAACAGAGATGCTGTTAAGTGTAGAATTTTTAGTGGCTTTCATTTGTTAGCCACACAATAAAATGAAAAAGTCAAAATGTCTGCATTTATTGAATGCAGTTTCAAAGCATTTCTGAGCTTCTGTCAACCTCACATATCACAGACAGAAGATTCAAATGCCATCAGTGAATCTACATTCAATAATCTTCAATATAATAATAAAATTATACAATATGATTGTTACTAGATGTATTGTTCTATACATTCACATGGTAAACCTATTTTTGATTATTCTCAACTGGCAGTGTTTGGGAAGTGTTTGCAGGAGCTATTGAAAAACCATGCAAACATACAGGAATGACTAGCTCACAAAGAAGACAGTAGAAGTTATCTGGATCACAGCCTTTTTCTGGATTCAGGTGTTTTTCCAAAAGAATGTGCAGCCAGCATCCTGCTATGCTTCACAGTCATGGGGAATGGATTTTTAAAGAAACATGACCACTACTGGTAGACAGTGAATCTTTAGTGACACCTTTCAAAAGATTTTGACCCTACTGTGTGCTGTTAGATCCTTTCCAGAAATAGATGCATTTGATAACAAATGCTTTTGATTCTTTTAAGGTAGAAGACCCTATGTACCTAGAGATATTAATAGTTCTTCAGCATGAGGAAATTAGATTGTTTCATCTTAAGAGTAACATTCAGTGCTGTTTGAATTTAGTTAGTGACTAGTCTAATGGTGTAGGTGGTTAAAGAATGAGAGGGAAATAAGATGGAGAAGCAGAATGGATGCAAAAGAAGGGTGGGTAGATAATTCATCACAACACTGAACAAAGGAGTGACCAATGCTTGATGTAAATGAAATCTATCAGAGCACAGCCCAAACCTGAAAAGATGTCTGGCTTCTCAAGCACACATGTAGGTTGAAAACGAGTTTATTTTACATCTTAAGTGCACACATTCTACATAGTGTGAGCACTTCAAGTAATTGCTTTCTTTTTCCCGTCTCTATTTCTTTGACGGTTTTTAAATTGTAATTCATTACTTGAATCAACTGATATTCCCCAATTGTCTTGAAACAGTGAGTTTCCTTCCTGCAAGCTAGTGGTCACCTGAGAAGAAATGTCAGCATCTTTAAAATCAGAGAGATAAAATGAAATCAGGGATGATGATGCATTTGAAGCCCTATCTTGCCCATAATGAAAAACAATGGCAAAACTCATTGGTAGCAGCAGGTTCAAGGACAAGCCCCAGAGGTTACTGCAATCTCATACTTAAAGTAGAAAAATATAATAATAAAAGGTAGGACAGTTTAGGACAAATGTAATCAAGAATAAAGTGAGGAAAAAAATTCTAAGCTCACAGTGGAAATTAAAAGCTTCTTCTGTAACGTCACCTTTTACTGTGTCATGTGGCACTTTGGAAACTCAGCATCATGTTTTTTAAAAGTTCTGCCCTTTAAGTTTCAGATAGGAGAACTAATTATGGTTAGAACTCCAATTAAGCTTGAAAATCTGGAAATAAAGAAATGTGATGTTTTGCTACGTTGGGCCCTTCAGTAACCTCATTCTTCTTCATAACATCATCACCTTTGCAGAATTTCTTAATGAAATTTCTATCCTCAAGATTTTTGTTTTCTTTCACCAAGACAACTGAAAGAACACAAAACAGAAAAAGATGCAAGCTGCCAACAATATAAACTCCAGCTTCCTGTGGTCCACAGAACAAAGGACAGGAACCTTAAACCAAGCTCAGCCTCAGAGATGAGGATGCCAAGTCTGGTGTGCCTATTTTCACTCATCTATTCACACACACAGAGACACACTGGCAAAGTGAAATAAAATAATCTTATAGATGAAAGTATAAGGATAGTTCAGTCCAACTGAATGCTTAGTAACTCTGGTGAACTGTGCCAGCTCACACATTCTGGAATTCACCCACGGATGGGTCTTTCAAAGGTCTTCCATTACAGGTGACACTTTTGTGAGATGTATGAGTGAAGATGGAGAAATGCAACAAATCAATACTGCATCATTCCTATCTTCCTTTTATCTTAATATGCTTTTTCCCCGCTGTGAGTCTCTCTGAGGAGCTTCATTGTCCCTGCTGCTTGAAGGAATGAACACCAGCTAACCCCAAAGTTTCATTACTTGCTTAATTTCAAAGGAATTCATTTACTTTTGGATTAAGTCATTTATTTGTGAATTATTGCAGATTACCATTTGTCCTATGGTTTGCTTTTGGAGAAAGGACTAATATTCCAGCACAAGTGACAAAAAAAAATAATTAATAAGATCCACCTCTTTCAGAGGTAAAAGCTTCCACTGACTGATAGTGGATTTCATGTTAGGCAGTTGCTGTCTTGGGGAACGGCAAGAGAATGATCAAATACAAATGGGTATTTCAAAGGAAGGAAATTACACTTTTGAGTTACACTTGTTGACAGCCATCTAGAAACTGTATCGTTTTTGGCTAATGTGCTTACATTTATAACTAGACTGAAAACAAGACAGGAAATAAAGCAGGTGCTTGGCCTTAAGACCACATTTTAAAGTGACATTCATGAAGGCAATAAAGCTTCCTACCAGGCACACAGCTCCTATATCCACAAAATCTGGGACCAAACTTTCCCCTATTAATGACATCTACCCTACCTTTCTTGCAAGCCCACGGATTTAACCGTTAGAGTAGCTGGATCTGTCTCCACTTTAATGTCCATTACGCAGTCAAAGACCGGAGTCTCCGGTACAGGATCCAAATCTAGGAAGTCATCCTCATTTTTATCCTCTGTCCACTCTGAGTACGTGAATGAAGGCTGCCGGCTCACAGATTGGCGTCTGTCCTCTTGTAGTGGAAAGGGGGGCTCTGGACGGGCTCTGAGTAGATGCCAAAACTGGAGGAAACAAACATTTAAAAAAGCTTTCTGCTTGTTGCCAGCCCTTCCATACAGCCTAGGGGGTGGGTCTTTACGGCAGCATCCCAGCTGGCTATAACGTATTAGAATCGGAGAGGACTGAAGAGGACAGGAATGTTCCATGCAGGAGTAGCTTTGTGGTGCGTGTTACAAGGATTCACATCTACCCATTCAAACCTGCTTTCAGCCACAGAGGTTTCAGCAGAGCTGGCCAGGCTTAACTCGGGGATACAGCGGGAGCGGAATGTGCTTGTGACCATCATATGCAAGCCAACGTGATACCACTGTCCTTTTGTTCAGTTTCTTACCATTCCTAGGCTTGTTTACAAAATAACAAACTACTATACTATTCTACAAATCATAACTCTCCTAACTTAATTGTTTTTCATCGAAAATTTAGATATAGCTGATTTTCTTGAATTGCACATCTTTGATAATCTGGCACTGTAACCTGAATTCATGTATAAATGAATAATTTTTTAAAGTGGCCTTGATTTTGAGGTTCAGAATGCCCATTTCAGTTTCTGGCCAGTGTCAAAGCCTGTTCTGTAATCTAATTACCTGATTTAAACATGGTATAGACATTAAATAATGGATCTTTGTGAAGTTCTAGGACATAAACACAATATTTAAGTTTATAATATAAACTAATGAAAGGCTTGATATGGCAAAAATCTAAAAAATTACTGTATCATGTTGGTTTGCATTTGGAGAATGTATAAGTAGACTGTTTAATCCTATACACAGGTCTCAGTTAAAAATTTCAAGTTCACCTCTGAATTCCAGGATCTGGAATCTTAAGCCAACTTCAACCTGCTAGAAGTAAACTACGACCAGTATCACTCAGTCTAAATGTTATACAAACTATATTGCACTGCCATGCATCCTTTTGAGACTAAGAAGAACAGGTCCTATTTTCCAAAGTAAAGTCTCTTCTGTCCTTTCCTTATATGACTTTTAAATGGGCAGCTGAATTTAGAAAACTTGCCATTAAAAATTTCTCTTCCTAGGCTACTAAAGCACATTAGCTTGTATGGGATTTTGAACCTCTATTTTCTTGTGCCTGTGTGTCTTCATGTACTCTCATTTCTATAAGAAAGAAGGAAAGTGAAGCAAGATTTAATTTCTGTCCATAGTCAGCTTTAGCAAATGTTAGACTCTCACAAAGCAGCAGTATTAATTTTACAGTTACTTCACACAAAATGCTTTTTTTGTTTCAGTTAATCAGAGTATACAGTAATTACAAAAGTAAACATAGGAACATGATTACCAGACTTATTTATGCAAACGTGGGGCCCAATCTGACTCTGTCCTACATGCTTGAGCTGCTGGATGACAAGCAAGAAGGTTGAAGATCTGATTCTGTTTTCATTCCCTGAGATGATTGCTGGAGCCTGGCAGTCCCACAGTATCAGCCACGGTTCTTTCACATACTGCAACTGTAATAGCTGAGCAGTTCATAGTGTAAAGTATGTGCTCAGCAACTTTATACTGCTGAAGAGTGCTTTTGTTAACTAAAATCAACACTTGAGCTAAGGGCCAAGTTGAAGGTCTAGGTACCAATTATGTATTGCAGATTCTAGAGCTGGTATGGTGACACAGGATTGATTTTACAGGTGATTTAACACACTGTAAATCCAAAGGAACGGAGAAGTTCACCCTAGAAACAAAGCAGCTTTTCTTTAGACTGAAAGAAGTGATAAAGAGCTGCCCAAGACACTGGAAGAAATTACGTTATACTTAGAAGTGATGGGGTTAAACTAAAGAATGGAAAAATAGTCAGCTCTGAAAACCTGTTCAGGAGGACTAGACAGCTCTATGCTGTCACAACTTCCCCAATACAGGAATGAGCTGGACTCTAGCAAGTGCACATACCAGACAGGGCCTCTCTTGGTGTCACTTCTGAGAATCTGCTTGACCACCACTTCTCAGCCTCATTAGGTGGCCCAACAGTTATTGCTCTACATTAAAGCAACAAAGTCCCTGTATAAAAAGACACATTTTCTCCCTTCCCCAGGGAACTACGAAATCATTACTGTAAGTTACTACAGTTGCTGAATTAAAAAAAAATAAATTAAAAAAAATAAAAATGTATCTGCATAAGCTGCTTTTCAGTATTTATCATCCAATGGGACTAATCTATCAGGACCATCTATAAAGACAGAATGGTATATTTGGGAAAGAAAAACTTCATCATAAAGGCACTCCTTAATGGGAAACACCCCTTCTAGCAGCACATCACTTAAAACCCATGGGGGGGGGAAAAAAAAAAAAAAAAAAAGAAAACACCCTCAGCTGAGAAAGAAGGAAAATCAAGAAAACTGTCTTCATGCAACCATCTGTTGTCCACTATTCTAGAAACCCTGCTTAGCTCCATCACCACATTATTTTCAGCTGAGTACTATTTTACACCTTATTCCCTAAATACTGATAGAAGCAGATGTATTCAAATTGCAAAGCATGTAGACCTGGACTGCATCAAAAGAAACATGACCAGCAAGGTTGAGTGAGGTGATTCTGCCCCTCTACTCTGCTCTCGTGAGACCCCACCTGGAGTACTGCATCCAGTTTTGGAGTCCTCAGCACAAGAAAGACACAGACCTATTACAGTGAGTCCAGAGGAGAGCCACGAAGATGATCAGAGGGCTGGAGCACCTCTCCTATGAGGACAGGCCGAGAGAGTTGGGATTGTTCAGTGTGGAGATGAGAAGACTCCAGGAAGACTTTATTGCAGCCTTTCAATACTTATAAAGAGGCCTTTATAAGAAAGATGGGGACAGACTTTTTAGTGGGGCCTGTAGCAATAGGACAGAGAGTAATGACTTTAAACTGAAAGAAGGTAGATTCAGATGTGATATGAGAAAGAAATGTCCTATGCTGAGAGTGGTGAAACACTGGAACACTTGCCCAGAGATGTAGGTGCCCCACCCCTGGGAAACAGTCATGGCGAGGTTGGACAGGGCTCTGAGCAACCTCTCTAGTTGAAGATGCCTGTGCTCATTGCAGTGAGGGTTTAAAGGTCCCTTCCAACTCAAACCATCTATGATTCCATGTCAGAGGGTAACAGGCAGGTAGGAAGGGACAAGGCTCACATGCTTTCTCTAAACAGCCTGTCCTTCCTAATGCCACTGTTAGAGAGAAGATACTGGGCAAGATGGACCATTGGCCTGACCTCATAGGACATTTCTTACGTTCTGGTTCTCTGCAACTTGTCCAGTGAACAGACTGCCACAGAGATATTCATGCCTCCACTCTAGCTAGAAAACTTAGCACAGACCACAGAAATACAAAACAGAGCAAGCTTCACTATATGGAAACTGTTATTAACCCTGCTTTCTGTATAAAAGTTTTGACCAACACTTAAAAATGGGCCAAGTCCACTCTCATCTACACCAGTGTTCACTTGCAAGAAATTACTACACATGCAAAGCAGTTCAAAGTGATATCAGAATTTCTGGCCACAGAGAGCTCTCATTTAAAGTTACTTGCTGTACTAAGAATGGGTCAGCAATAAAATGTTTCCATCCAGCAACAACTAGGTTGGATATATAGAGAAATCACACCCCTGCTATTTTGATTTCCAGCTCAGAATGTTTTGCTCCAAAATTACCTGGAAATCACACAGTTTATCACAATTCTCAGATGTCTCAATTTTGTTCCTTAATATTTGCAATTACAAAATCACCCAAAGTTTATTTTTGAAGACAAAAATTCATCTGGATAAGGAACAGCAGCATCAAAAAAGCAGAAAATTGCATAAGCCCAGCTAACTACCTTGCCTACATCAATGATCACAATAATAGAGGCATTAACAAAAATTACTTCACCTTGTGACTAGTTTTAAAAAGCACATTCACCCGACACATTAAACAGAAGATTTTGTCACCGTGCTGCCTCTGAGTGAACTTAACCATGGTATATACTATAACAAACTTTCTACCAGCAAGCGTGGCCAGCAAATCAAAGGAGGTATTATTCCCCTCTCCTTGGCACTGATGCAGCAGCAGCACCTTGAATACCGTGTCCAATTTTAGTCCCTCCAGTTTAAGACAGATAGAAAAAACTGGAGTGGGCCCAGTGGAGGGCTACAAAGGAGGCCAGGTATCTGGAGAACATGATCTTTGAAAAAGGTGGAAGGAATTGGGCTTGTTCAGCCTGGTGAATAGGAGGCTGGGGTGATCTAGCAGCAGATTCCAACTACTTGAAGAGCAGCTCCAGAGATGATGCAGCCAAACTCTTTCTAGTAGAGCCAGCTGATACCACAAGGGAGAATGGCCAGAAATTGCAGAAATTCAGCTTTGGGAAATTTGGATTAGGAAAAAATTCTTCCCCAAGAGCTCTGTGCAGTCATGCATAGGTACCCTGAGAGATGATACATCTCCTTCCCTGGAGGTTTTCAAAACCTCTGCAGAAAAATGCATGGCTGACCTCATCATGGGTTGGCAACAGCCTTGCTTCAAGCAGGATGTCAGATTGGCCATCTCCAGAGATCCTTTCCCACCGTCAGTCCCGTGATTCTATGATGTACTTCATTATACTGTGCATGACTCAAAAGACACGTACATGGTACGTACAGGTGTGCTGCTGCAAGGACAGGAGGTGATGTTCCACCTACATTTTCAGTAACTGCATCCCACTCTAACAGAACAGTCTACAATGGTATGAAAAGCCTTGTTCAATTAGAGTTACCTAAAAAAAAAAGAATTTTCCTTAGCTTTCCCATCTAGCACACACCTTTGTGCCAATTACACAACCAATGGAGAAACACAATACACTCCTCCTGGTTCCAAACAGCTGAGAGCTAACTAGATGAATTGTAGTCATGCCACTGATCTTGTTCTGCAGCTGGGGCCTTGGCCTACATCTATAAAGGCATTACGTTCACGAGTACACTGGTGCTATGGACCAGCTATTTCTGTGACTTAAGTCAATGGATGCTCTGCAGATAATCCATAGGGCAGCAATATTAGTCAATCCTGTTACTGGACGATATCCCTTCCACTTAAATGAAAGTAGCTTGTCCATCTGTGGATGGAAGGAATGAAAACCATCAGTGTAATCCTGAATTCATCAAGAAATTGAATAAGGATAAGTGTAGTTGTGATTCCTCTATGTAAAGCAAGGAGATAACTACATAGAAATAGCCCCAGACATGATGCTTTACAATCAACTTGGGTGTAACATCAACAACTTCAGGTAAATTAGACATCTTATAAAAACAGACTGAAAAAGGGCATGAATACAATTTGCACAGTATCATAACTTACCAGAGATCCTACAAATAACAGTCCTAGAGAAGCTAAAGACAGCAGGATGTATGATACCACAATGCTCCCAATTCTAGTCAGATCCTGTGAAACAACAGAATTGACAATGATTCATAAAGTATTTAGGGGCACCATATAGTCTCTGAATGCATGTTCTTGGCAAACTCTGTATTCATTCTTGGATTTCCCATGTAGATTTATTTATACCATATTCTTGTCCATGGAAAAGCCACCACTACCAGCAGAAAAATGCCAGGCTTTGGAGGAGATTGAAATTAAAACTATCTCTAAACCCCAGCATCTCAGAATTCCTAAAAACTGGGTTTCATTGTGAAGGCAAACAGGAAATCTGCTTCCTACTCTCATGCATTGCCAAAATTGAGATCTGCATCCATGATTCAATTCTGCAGCCTGAATCCATGTTTCATTGCCACAGCCAATGTAGTTTTATACTGTTGCAAAAAGCTTTGAGAAAAGTTTAGTACCGTCCCTGTGTTTGTGGGTGCTTATATAAAACCTAGCCACAGAGGACTTTTCTACATTTTCTACACATTCTTTGAAATAGCGTCAAGTTTATTCACAGCACTGGCAGTGAAATTTCCTCTGATGTCTTAGTCATGTTTAAGTAGTTTAGAGTTCAGCCTATTCTCAGTAGTAGTACAAAATACAATTCTTACGGGCTTCAGTGGGCAAGGAATTTTACTCTGTTTCTGAATCACCAGTACAGCTAAAGAGAAATTCAGAGTTAAGAGCTTTCATTTGCTTATTTAAACGTCAGAAGATTTCTTTGCCTTTACTGTTTTCAAGTCTAAATTTGCACTGCAGAAAGTGCTATAATAAACAGTCCTCAAAGATATGCATGAACATCTGCAGTGTCATACTTGGGGTGTTCTTGTGGTGCATTCTAGGAAACAGTTTCCTCCATGCCAAACACTTATTTAAAGTCAAAATCCTACAAATCGGGGATTTTCTGTAAGGACCAATTTGTTAATGATTGACCCACTGCAAATAAAATACAGGCAATGCTCTTTGAAGAGCTCTGATTGTGTGTAATAAACCCAACTAAGAAGGGGCAAAGAAAAAGTGCTTCTTTCAAATAAACAAACGAGCAGGTGACATGCAGCTCAAACATTTTTAAGCGAACACAGAAAACAGTCTTCATTGTACTTCAGCCACAAGAGGCACTGAGTCAGATTTCCTATTTGTACAGCATAGCCTCTGCTACAAAGATTATGTACAATGAATCTAAACATTCTGATAGCAAATACATTTTGCCTGATTTATGAAAGTAGCTGCTCACCATTTAATTAAGGTTCTGTCCACACTAGAGAAATCTGCACTGGGTATAATTACCCCAGTAATTTATCAGGTGAATCATACTGGTATATGTGTCATTATGTCATGGTGAGAAGCTACGTAATTTTACCGGGGTATCTTTGTAGATATAGTTTCAGCTGTACATCTAGTACACCTGAAATACTTTTACTGCACATAGATATGCTCTAAACACTCAACAAAAATAAAATTTTGTGATTAAGTATTTTGCAATTTTCACCCTTTATGTGGATTCTTTAAGTAAATTCTTCCAGAATTTAAGATTCTATCCATCCTAATAAATTAAGTTCCAGCTCTCCCTTTACTGTGGGCTAAACCTTAGAGGGCTGATTTCTTATTGCTTTGTTTCATTTGTAATCATTTGCACATCATGAGAAATCTGCTGTGCTGATCTAACATCATAGCCAAAAAATCAGCCCTATATCTTGAAGATAAAATACGCATCTGTTTTCAGAAAACTCTTTTCACTGTTTCTGGATATACACAAAATACAGCAGTCACTATATTATATAAAGTACACGTGTATTATACTTTTAATCAGAAGAGATATTAGAAGCACCACCCAAGTCTACTGACATCAACTATATTATCAGAGAGGAGTACAGGGACTTACCTCCCCTTGATCTGACAAAAGCTGTTTAAATGGGGTAAGCAAGTAAGACAGCAGGTCAAAGGCATTCTGAGCTGCTGGGATAGTCCCGTAAGTGCTGTACCACAGCATCATGCAGAGAAGCTGTGTAATCAATCAGAAAATACATAATGAGCATCTCTCATTACACAAACATTCATTTTCATTTCAAGACTGCATAATTAACTAATTTAGTTCTCATTGATTTCATGTTGATCATCATTTTTGCTTTAAAGAAATCAGGTATTTTCTAGGCTGCAGCTTAACAGGAATAAAAAGAGTGAACGCTACTGCTCAGCTACCATTAACCAGATGTGTATTGGTATTAAACAAGCTACTCTGGTCTACGCTAGCAAGAGCACTGCCCATGGTAGCCTGTACATTGAAGAGCAATAGATTCCTCTAACTTCTGAACTTTCAGCATTATTACTTTTAGATGAAAACTGGTATTTCAGCGGACTTTGTATGTTACACAAAAAGACTATTAAGGCCTATCTTATACTGGGCAAAGCTGTCACAAATAGCCATGTTCACATAGGTATCCCCATAAACAGATACACACAAACATAGGCTGCATACACCACAGTTAACATAAAACCACACAAGCAATGATGCTATTTTTAATCCCCTCTCAGAGAGGATTCATTGCCAGCCACGAAGGGCACACTGCAACTTTAAAGGACACATCTTCCAACCCGCTTTTTAACAAGATGTTATCTTGTTACCCCCATGCTAGCAGCTAGAGAAGATGAATGTGTTGAGAGATGGGTCATTTGGCGAAGGAGGCATTTGCAGAGGGGTAGGGAATAGCACGGGAGTCCAGGACATCAAAAGACAGGGGCTGTTTGCAAAGCAGAGCTTTGAGAGTTTGCTGCAGAAATGGATTGCAGCTATGCCCGTTGCTACATCTACAATGAATGAGGAGGAAACCTTCCAAGCCAACAAAGCTTAAAAGAAGGGTCCCAGCATTCCAAAGTAACGACAAGCTACCTTACCAGTATCTGGGAGAGGACAAACAGATACATGCTGTCTCCAGGCAGTAATCCATTCCACCGGGCAGCCCAACCAAGCAGTGCTGTTTTCTGGAAGGTTTTCAGGGACTGCTCCTTCCTGTTCAGCTGTCCTTGTTGTCCTTCAGCTTCATCCATTGACTCCATAACAGCTGGATGGGAAAGGCAGGGAATGAATAGTATGTAACCCTGCAGCCACCACGGAACCTGCAAGGGCTATTGTTTTCCTAGAGACGATGGTTACCTCTCAGTTCTGCATCAGTAAGCGCGGCTCAGGATTGTGAGCGTCACACTCTATTAGAGCAGCTGTATTCACCTGCCTTCGTCAGAAAAAAGTGAGTGTGGGCGGATAAATTATTTTCCCTTTCTTTCCGGAGGTGCAGATTCTGGGCTGTGTTGTTAATAAATTCTCATTTACATCACTGCAGCTTTTCGTTTTTACTTTTTAAAAGGAACCATCTGTGCTATTTCCTAGCTCCACACTTCCTAGCTACATGGTGACAGAGAATCCATTTTGTCCCTCCCTGCCTCAATTTCTCTTTTTCCCCCTTATTTGTCTGCTTTCTCTAATTTGATTGTAAATTTCTGAAGTAGAGACTGTTTCATGTTATGTGTCTGAATAGTGCTCAAGGGCTCTGGATTTTGGCGGAGTGTCCTAAGGCACTAATAAAATAGACTTTATTCTAATAACCTACTTCTTGGATGAATTCATACTCAAGAGCTATTTTATAATGTTGTAATGCTATTCCATTCAGTGGAAATATCACTGGAGTGGCTAGTCCCTCAGTAACAGTACTCTGAACACAGTCTGTGTAGATATAAATTAATTTACAACCTAAGAGGAGTGAAAGATCAGGCCTGTTTGAGGTAAATACTACTGATTTACATCTTTCTACATGAGAAAAGCCCCAACGCTGCCCTATGTAAACATCATAGCCTTAAGCCTAAGCCAGCCATCTTTGCCCCAGGGAAAGACCACATCATTGGCACTGCCATGATTTGCTGAGGTCAAGTTTCTACAAAACATTCCTCTGATTAGACATTTCTCTAAACATCTCACCACAGTAAGTCAAACAGCATCCATAAACTAGCCACAGCTTTTATTAGGCAAATGAAACATACGATCCATGTGTCAGTTGAGGGTCTGGCCATTGGTACAGTAACAATTCATGAAAATACCCCTTTGGGATTTCTAAAATACAAAAATATGAGAGTGGACATGAACATGAGATGCTTATTGCCACTCAGTGAATGTTCTCCCTCCCCTCACTGAAACAGACTTTAGGACATCCATCCCTGGTATTTGGGAAATTCTGATGACTTCCTCTACAAGATTCTCCATTCCAACAGCTGTCCAGCAACAAGAGGGTCATCACTGTGTAAATGACTGGGGAGACTCAGAAGTGACACAAGAAGGAGAACCTGCAAGGTACTACCAGGTACTTCTTCAGGAGCGCAGGTTACTGGTTTCTCATTTCCAAAATATCTCCAGTCAGTTTATGATGGGTGGTAGCCTCAGCAGGATCTGCTGAGTATAACTGGTTATATGTAGCTGTTGTCATTGTCTTTATACAGGTATTTCTCAGGAAGCATAGAGAACGTGCACCCAGAAAGACATACATTCATGTATGTCATACCATAGGTATATGCTGAAATTAACTATTTCCCAGGAGAGACTTAGTGCAGTAATTTTCATAAACGCTGTCAAAATTTCATATTAAATACAGGTCAGTAAAACATGGAAAAATATGGAACTAAAAAGGTAAAACCAGAGGTGTTAAGGCCAGCCTATGTTTCTCACAGTGGTAAAACTTCCTTCGCTTTCATCTATATGTCTTTAATGCTAGAATACAACAGCTTGAAAATAGCACTTTTCAAAGAAAAGCAGACAGTTTTTGCAATATAGCTCAAGAGATCATGGGAGCTCTACCTCTCTGTCCTTCAGTCTCCAGCTGGTAATCTGCAGCCCATGACAACACCCCCCAGAAAACACAGACTCCAGACGCAGTCCTTGGTGTCCAGAAACACGGACCATACAATTAACATCTGACTTCTCATACCATGCTGCATAGAACTGGACCCAAAATTCTCCAGGAGGACAACACAGCTGCCACATTAAGGAGCCTCAGTTAAGCATGCCTAAATACTTTCAATGCTGACCTTTGGTTTCATTTCAAATTTTCAAGCTTCCAAACTGCTTCATGTCTCACTGGATACAGAAACAACCAAGGAGAAAATCTTGTAAATGTTTACCCACTTTTTTCTATTATTTTTGCAGGAAGTTTATGCACTGTGTTTTGCAATAGGAACTTGAAATCTAGCAGGGACAGAATCTTGATGTCAGAAATTATTGTTGCTATCCACACACAAAGACATGCACCTATGACTGAGATATAAACCTTAAAAAAAAATAAATAAAAAAAAAATCATTCACATATTATGGTTTGCTCCTCAAGTCTCTAACCTTCCATTTTCATTAACCATATTTGAAGTCCTACTTTTCCTTTATCTGCATTAAATAATGCACCTCTGTTCCTAAGAATAGATAATAAAGCTATTTATTGTTTTTCCAAATCCTAATTATTTCCTTTCTTAGATACCCCTCCCCAAAGCTTAAGATAAAATACACATAGAGCAGTGTATTTATGGGATATCTTTGGGAAGACAACCAAAACCAGGAGCCAGGGAATGAAGATTTCAGGCTCGGCTTTCAACTATTTTTTCTGTGATAAGATTTTGTGTATCAGAAGACCACTTTTTAACTGACCAAAAGCTCATTCACCTGCCTTATGCAGCAGGTAAACAGATTTTATTTGTTTCATGTCTATAACAGCCTGAGATTTTTTACAAGGTCACTTCTGTTTAGGTTGAAAACAGAACCCTGTTTCTAACAGGATGATGTGAAGGCCATGTAACCACACGCCTTCTGGAACAAAGACGTCAAAGTTAGGGTACCGCTGTGTGTCTGTAACCATGGGGATCTATGCCTCTCCACAGCCCAGAAGCCCAATTCCTGGTATTCCAGTGTTGTCTAGCAACAGCTGTACAATTGTAGGATACATTCTCCTTCTTATGACTGCCCTATATGAAGGACAATAGACTGCTTCTTTCAATTATTTTCCCTGTATAAGGTAGAGATCGTGGTGTATGGACCTAGGAGCCCAGGATTCCAGCTCTGCCCATTTTAAAACCCCTGTGCCTCCATCTCTTTCTTTTCCTGACTTCATATGTGGGCACATAAAGGGCAGAAGAATGAAAAAGGAATACCTGTATAAAGCGCGCGCTTAGAGTACCAGACTTAACTGAAACACTAAAAGGCACTCCAGTAATGGTAAGTAAGTCAACAATGCCTTGCAGTAACAAACATGCCATGATCCAACTGAATGCTGCTGTGGGCGAGGCATCAGCAGCTCTGTAACTCAAGTGATTCATACGTAGAGCCTTCAGAGAATAAGAAAGCAAAAAACAACCCTCCAGGACCACATATCCTGGCTGTATTTCCTAGTGAAGTTAGCACTTTAAATGGAACTTGTGTCCCCTCTTGTGCATGGGTGCTAATGCTCAAGGAAGCGACACAGCTCTGATGGCAGACTTAATTTAATGATGTATTTTTGAGATGAAAAAAGACTTATTCCTAACCAAAAGCATTTTTATAATAGAAATAAATATACACCACCACCCCCAATGAAAATATAGTGCTCATACAGTTATTAGACTTTTACTTAAATCCATCACCTTCTATCTGTGGGAGTTATGCTTCTGGAGGATTAGGTGGTACTGCCTTTTTACTGGGAAATAAGAATTTTGTTTACGGCGCCTGCTTCTTCATTCGTGGGGGAATATCCGAGCTCTGTAGAACTACCTGCCAGACACAGAAGATAGGAGGGAAAAATGTTCTGCCAAATCTCAGGCTACAGCAGTCAATGAGCCACAGCAGCTCAGCTGCACTGTCTCATATTTGTTTTACGCATGCGGAGAGCCGTATCCCTCTGAACATGCCTGTATCTTTGTTACGGCTGCGCACGGCAGGAATTTACTTAATAGGAAAGAATCACAATGTGGAAGCATTGCAAAGTATGAACATACCAGCAACACTTCATATCCAACAAGATTACCAACACTTCACACCAGAGTTCTAAATCCTGGTATAGCCTTTACTTCTTCAAATATCAAAATGCAACTGCCTACTAAAATCACTGTCTCCGATTCTATCTAACTGCTAGTGCGACCTATTGATTGGAGAACAGTAGATGAATGTATACTACTGATACGGGCCTGCAAATCAATTGCTTATTTTCCCATGCACCTCAATTGCATATGCAGGACATAACCCTAGTGTTGTACTTCATGAATCTGGTCAAGACCTTGTTAAATCTGAGAGACATGAGGTCATGAGAGACACTGATTATAGGCAAGTCCAGATGCTGTCAAGACACATCAAAGCTGAATGAGCTGCCTCAGAGTGAACATGAATGAGATAACTTGTGCTGGAGGGTAAAAAGACAGGCTCATCTAATCAGGAAAGGTATTTGCTAAGAAGACATTCTCTTTTTTGCTTGCCACTGCAGTATGAGAAGGATGGAAACAGAAAAATAAGCTTTTGGACCACAAGTCAGTCTTCTGCACTGCAATGGCATGGAAGAAGTGGGTAAGAGGAAGGGAACCTTTCACACTTGCACAGCAAACACAACTTACATACTTACATTCCTCTCTCTGCAGGACACCAACTGGTGGGTCACTATTCTACAACTTAAAAACTTTTACTGAACTTCTTTGTAACCAGCCAATCTCACCTATTAAGGACCTAAATGCAATGACAGAAGCTGCATCATTACAGATGGATACAATTCACCACCTAGAAAAGTCTGTTTTTTCTTGATGTTCTCTGAACTCCTATCTCATCTGACAAGCAATGTTAAAAAGTACACTCAAGATCTAATGAGCTGTGCTGAAAGCTGGGAATTCTATTTCCAACACTTGCTGTTATCCTAAAACCGCATCTCTTTCTTTCTAGCTCCTCCACTGTTTGTTTTTTTTATGACCTTCCTAGTCATGATATGGTACTGGCTACCTCTGCTCTACTTGATCCCTGACCTGCTCTACTTACAAGAGTTCAAAACATGCACCCTTTCCAAATGGCTGAATAAAACCT